GTGTGCGCGCATTAATATTTATTTAATTAGAAAATTAAAAGCAAAAACAAAAACAAATCGTAATGACCGAGTGTGAGTGCAGGAATTCCAAGAAATTCAGTGAAAATTCAAAATAAACAAAAGTCAAAGCCAAAGCAGCGCGGCAGAGACGGCGGCGACAGCGGCAGCGACGTTTTGTAGCGCGCCACAAAAAGAACAGCAACAACAACAACAAGAACTATAATAATGACAACAACAACAACAATAAACAGGGCAACCCCCGCTGTATTAGTTGTAGTTGTTTTGTGGCGTTGGTCGTCGTGATTTTGAGGTCTGTTCATCTTACTACTCTTCTTCCTCCTCCTCTTCTTCTTCTGCTGAGTTCAAGCAACAACAACAACAACAACAACAAAACAAATGTGCTCGGGGTGAGTAGCAGCAGGTTAGTGAAAGAGAGAGAGAGAGAGGCAATGCGTGTAAATGCATGAGCATGTGTCATGCTGTGCGCTCAATTTCACGTTGCAGCAATAAGGAACACTTTGGACTTGAACTAAATACGCTGCGCTCTCTCAACGTGCTCTCTCTCACTTACACACGCTCTCGCTGTCGCTCTCGCTCTATACCTGCTTGCGAGGCGACGACGAACTAAACGTAAATTAAGCCGGCGCCAGGATACCTGCCGTCAACAACAGCGACAGCGACGACGACGACAACGCAGACAACGTCAGCGAGCGCGAGCGAGAGCGAGACAAAAGGCTTGCAACGTCATTGACACAGCAAAGGGCAGGCAAACGGCATAGAACAAAGCAGCTAAACAATGAGACGAAAGGTGGAAATCCACTTAAGAGCAAAACAAAAGGCAGCGCTGTGGGGTGTTTTTATCTGGGCACACTCATCCTAGCAAAGCAAGAGTGAAAGAGAGCGAGGGAGAGGGAGAGAGCGAGGGATGCCCAAGCGTTGTGGGAACAATTAAGTGTGCAACAGTTATGTCCCGTCTATCTGTGTGCGTGCGTGTGTGTGTGTTAGTGAGGAATGCCCTGCTACGAATGTTACGACACATGTTTTTATGGGCTTGGGCCTGGGCTTAGGCAACCCCTGACCTTGACAACACACAGATGCGAGATGCGCACATGATAAATGGCAACAGATACAGATACATTTACAGATGCTCGAAGCGCTGCGTGGGCGCAAATTCCAACAGCCAGACGTTGATTATTTGCGTGAAAAAAGACACACACACACACAGAGACAACACGATTTTAACTGTTTATTCAAGCGTGCGCATCATCAGCCGCAGACACACACACACACACACACGCACACGAACACACACACACACATCCATTAACTATAGATTTCTGTTTGTTTTACGCTTTAGTCGTCGCCGCCCCCGTTTTGCCCCAAAAGGGGGCGGCAGCTAGCGAAACAGACAAAAAGAAAAGAAGAAGAAGAAGAAAACAAAATAAATACCCGTTTGGCAAGCATTTTGTGCACGCTACGTAAGCGTATTTAATTTAACAAATATCATAATAATACCCTAACTGCAGCTCTGGCGACTTTATTAAGGCGTTTGCCAATTGTCTGAAAGACAAAACTAGGGTATTTCTGGACATCTATGTTGAGGCAAAAGTTATTTTAATTCAAGGGAATACCCTCATTAAATTCGAATCATATGCAAATGAATTTAAGTTTAAGCTTTAGTAAAGGGTATTTTACATGTGTCACATTTCGCATTTGATTTTTTCAACTTTTTGCTAATATGCAAAAATACACACACACACACACGCACACACAATATTTTAAGCATTTCCGTCCTTCGGTTGCCAAAAAAAAAAAATAGTAATAATAATAAATGAAAGAAGAATTTCGTATATTATTATTATTTTGTATGTCTGTCCTCAGAAGATTTTTGCGCTTGAATGCACAATTTGAGAAATGTTAAAATTTGTATATATTTTTATATATATATGTTATTCACAGTTCTTTCAATTATATTTGTTTTTGATTTGACCGAAAATGACTTTGACCAAAATATTTATAAATGATTTAATACCAAGTTTTTAAGGCCGTGACATTAATCCAAAAATTGTTCTTCTATGGGAATGCCACGCCTTGGGGCATTCGACAGGGGGGCGGCAAAGTACAGTGAAAACACGCTTGAATGGACAACGATTACGTAGTAGTAGAATGTTATTTTCCAGCTGCCTTAAATTCCATGTATTCCTCTTATGATAAATAAAAACGAAACTTGAAATTTGCGAAATCTGAATAAATTTAGAGATAAATTAGTTCGATTTAATAGTTTTCACTGTATATATATAAGAAGCGGCTGTCATAAGACAATCACGAAAAACGTGCTAACTAAAATGCCAAATAGACACATCTATAATTAACTAGTTGTAGATCCATCATAGAGATCTATACGAAATTGCGTACTGGCTAAATAAAAACACTTGAATGCCGTCTTACGTAGTTGGGCATTTAAAAATAAATGCGAAAAGTGTAAAAATGAAAACAAAGAAAAAGCCCGAAATCAAATGAAAAGCAAAAGCTAAATGTGTGAACACACATACACAAGCTCATAGATCAGCAGATATATCTATATATATACATATATCTTTAGTGCTCGAATCGAACATTTGCTCAAATTGTTTTGTCTGACAATTATTTAACACTTTTTGGCACAGTATCTCGCATATATTATGCTATTTTTATCGTCTGGTTCTCTATTTATTCTCTGTTTATTTTGAATACTACACGTATAACTCGTATAATCTCTTGGCTTTTGAACTTCTCTATTAAATGGTTTTTTTTTTTAAAGGCAATTCATGAATTATAGACAATTTCTTGAAATATATGCAATCATTTTGCATTTCTAGCATTATTTGCGTTTTCATTCAAGTTTATATCTTTTGTTAAATGTTCCATGCAAAAACTAAGAACTGCATTCATTTCATATGTGCATACACACAAGATCTATACTAGATACTCAAAGTGCAGTGCCAAAAATCAGACGACTTTTATAGTATAAACATATATCTACATACATATGTATATATATATATATGTATATCGAAATATATTTGTGTTTCAATTGAAACCTTGGCACTGGCCAGCTTTTTTTCTTGGTGCAAATTTCGCCTAGATTTTTACAAATATTTTTGTCTTGACGTCAAACATTTGGGAATTTCCGCGCTACAAAAATGAATTTCAACAAAACTCTTGCCAATTTCTAGTTACCCAAATAAATATAAGTATATATATATATATATATATATATATATATATATATATGTGCGCTTAGTCGATCTGAGCATGCCGTCCAGCATAGTTGTTAATTAATTAAATTCCATTTCAATTTAAATTACTTAAGTTCTTTCCGATAGGGAAGCATCTTTTTGCTAACAGGGCTGCATTTGTAGTCACATGATAAATGCATGCCAGTGTGACCGTATCTTATCATAAATAACGATCAATTCGAAACGTACCTTCACCTTTTCAACTCTTGTCCAAGAACACACTCGTTAGGCCTACGATAAGTTGCCCAAAATAAATAAAAATATAAGAAGAAAAAAACTGTTCGAAGAAACGTTTTTACTATCAGTTAGCTGGAAAAATTCGCCAGCTCATGGTAAAATTATACGTATTGCTGATTCTTATTACTTTTATCAGCAAATTAGTGCGAATTTCGTGTGTATTTATAACGAGATTTGTTTATTCTATGCGCCAGCTACTGGAAACCCCAGCCAAAGTAAACAAAAATGCGAAGTGATAAAAAAAACTGGCAGCCAAATTACCAAATAATCAAATCAGCAAGGGTTGCATTCTCCAGCTATGCAGAAAAGGGGAGCTAGAATGAAGGTCACATCTGAAATGATGTCAGTCTAATAAGAAACATTTAGTATTTATTTACAAAATATACTAAAAAATAGCCAAAGTTGCTGCGTATCGCCGATTTTTATAGCCAGATTTGACGGAAAAAAAGCGCAACTGGCAACTCTGTTTGGCATGTGTGTGTGTGTGTGTGTACATAACTACACGCATACACATGTAATTCCTTTGCCTTTTGTGGTAAATGCAAGAGGAAGAAACGATGAAGAAGAGCGACGATCGTTAGCGCTGCTTAATCGCATTAATTTGATTTCCGACAAACGCTCAAGTGTTGCCGGGCGGGGGGCGACTCGGCAACAACAACAACAACAACAACAGCGCGTACGTCATAGAGCACATCGAATGGCAGGCAGAGACAGAGACGCAGCGACTAACAGCAGGCAGCAGAAGAGAGTGAGCAAAAAAAATAATAATAACAACAACAACAGAAAATTGCTTATCAAGCGCTCTAGAAAGCTCCAAGTGGCCACTTGCATTTGTATTGGTGTCATCATATTATCGTCTGTGTCGCTGAATACAAGTAGCAGGCCCCAGCCAGACCAGGCCCAGCAATGAACTCACTCACTAACACACACATACATAGAAACACACACACACACACACACACACACACACACACACACACACACACACACACACACACACAAATACACAGGCGCACATTCAACAAGCTAAACCCGTTTGCAGTCCGGCAACAACAAAACGAGCAAAATTATTAAAATTTTTCAGCTTGATTCATGCTACACACACACACAACAGCCTGACTGACACACAGACACACACACAGACGCACACATGCACAAGCACCACTGAAGCGCACACATGCCCACACACTCTCGCACAAAAATATAAACAAATTCAAGCAACAACAACAACGACAACGATGGCGGGTTTCCTCGTTTCTTGTGAATTGACTCAATATAATACACAAAAGCAAAGCGCACAGGCAGCGTCAGCGCGCGGCCACAGCGACGCCAGCGGCTTCGGCGGCGCGGCGCGGCATCGGCGACAGTGTTGTCAAGTTGTTTGGATTAGTCATGTTGCTTGTGTGCACACACGCACACATACAATACTACTACATGCAGCTGTATTTGTGGGGGGCTAGTATTGAAAACAGGCTAAATACTCACATGCATACGTCGCCACATGGTTGCTCGTGCTCCACTCGTGTGTAATGGCTTGGCGTGCAAAGAGAAGAGCCTCTTTCGTTCGTGTGTAGACAGCTGCGGCAACTCTAGCCATTTGGCGCTCCTGCTCTCGGCCGATCGCATCACATCGCACATACATACACATGTACATACAAATGTATGCGTGTGTAGCAATTATTATTTTATTATCACTTTTTTTTTCACTGCTACGTTTTGTGCTGTGCTTCTACGTTTTAAATGCTTTTGTTGTTATCGTTGCTGCTGCTGCTGGTGCTGCTGCTGGTGCTCCCCAGACCTTCCTTAGTCAGCAAAAATTCGCATATGTACACATTTATTGCTGGGGGTTTGTGAGTGTGTGCGTGCGCGTGTTTATGCATGTTTTCATGGGTGTGTGTTTGTGTGTACGTAATCAACAATAGCGCGGGTACAGGCTGGCGACAGCCGTCGTGTTGTGTTCCCCCACTTCACGTCACCTGTTTTTGTTGTTGTTGGGGGCTACGTTTTTGCTTGATTTGATCATTTTCTCAACAGCAACGGCGGCGGCGACGGTTACGGCGGCGGCGACGGCAACGGCGGCAGCGTCAGGCGACCCTGTGCTTACTTTTGATTGACAATTGCAACAGTGTGCGGGACGGCGGCGAGTGCGCGAATATTGCGGTATGCGGCGACGTTGACGTTTTGCTGTCGCTCTCCCCCTCTCTGCTTCTGCTTTGCTGCCTGTGCCTTTTCCTGGCGCGCTCAATTTTTTGATTATTGTACGGTTTTTACTCATTTCTACACGCTGCTGCCTGTCTTTGGGCTTTCGAGTCTTGCGTGTGTGTGTGTGTATGTGCTTTTGTTTTCTCGCCGCTCTTTCGCCAGTTAGTCGCGTCGCGTTGCGTCGCTTCTTCGTTTTCTTTTGCACACTCTCGCACACACAGTGATTTGTCTGGTTTTTGTTGTTGTTGTTGGCGTTGCTTTTGCCACTTGGGCACTGCTCTTTGAATGAATTTTTCAGCTTGCTTCGTCTAGTTGTCTTTAACTGTTTCATGCTTGCTGGTCGCTGGTTCGTTGTCGCGAGCGCCTTAACGCATTTTTGTTGTCATATTTTTGGTTTTAATTCCCAAATTGTTTGACACTAAAACTGATATTGCTGCGATACTTATTATCGATAATTGTGACTATCGAGATTTTGCCAATTAGAGCGCGAGTAAAAGAGTGCAAGAGCAAGAGAGTGCGACTGAGTCACAGGTACGACGAGTTTTGCGAGCATTTGCACTATTCATATTCAATGCAAATTACTTATGCAAGTGTATGTGTTTGCTTGTGCGTGCGTGCGTGTGTGCTCATTGCTGTGTTTTAGTTGTCATTTCCTTTCTTCGCCTTCTTTTTTATCAGACATTCGGGCTTCAACGGAATTCCGTATCATTTTCGCGAATTTTACGTCTCTTAACCGCCACGATTCGCGCCGAGTATTTACATACATTGAGTACTGAGTACATTGCTGCGAGTACACATGTGGGCCGCTTGTAAATTATTAACCACTGTTAAGTGGCAAATGGCCAAGCTCGGGTTTTACTTTTTGTTTTTTTTCGTACACGTTGTTTGCAGCTGCAAATGACGTACTGCTGCAATTATTAACAGACAGACAGACTGTGGCGCCGTATTGAGCGTACCTTGTACTTATTGCACACTGTGTCATGTGGGTGGCACCGCGCGCGCTCGTGTGTTTGTGCGTGTGTGTGCGTTATAAGGGGCACGCGTGAGTGAGAGGTTGTCAGTCAGGGAGTGCATACAAAAGAGATCTCGTATGACGTGCGGCCGCCTTGTTACGCGTCGTTCAGCCTATCATCTGAGTGTGACCAGGCGTATTCTTTCCACTTGATAATCCGCTATTTACTTACGTATTGCACTTTGGAACACAAAGTGCTTAAGGAAATACGACAGCAGCAGAGGCAATTGCACATGCAAATACGTATTATATACCTAAATATACATATATATGTATTTAATCGCCATATGCGCTATTTGTGTTCATATGTATGTATGTATGTATGTATGTGCGTCTATCTAGACAAAGTTTAGGTTGCTTAAAGCTAAATTCCTAATAATAAAAACCAACAACGACTACGAATCGTTAAATAAAGTCAAAGTCGTGATAGTAAAGTTATTTAAATATTTGTTATTTATTTTTGCTGTTTTCTTTTAAAGTAAATATAGAAACTAAAACTAAAACTTGTGCGAGGCTCTCAAGTATTTTTTTTTTTTGTTGATTACGCTTATCTCTAAACTCTTTTTGTATTTACTATTAAAGTGTATTGAAATTCTATGAAAAACACATTATTTGAGCTATTAATCTTCAATTATTCATATATGTACATGTATGTATGTACACATATTGCATAACTGTAATATGATAATCAAGCACAACAAGCTACCCATACACACACACACACACATACATACATTAAGTATTTGAGTATATATTTATGTGCTTAGATTGTTTGCAATGCAGAAATTGCCTTTAATATATGGTCGCACTTGTGGAAACTTCCTTTTGGCGCCACACAAATTTACAGACAGTCACAGTAGGCGGGCGGGCGACCGTTTGACTACCGTCAATTGTGAATGCTTTTCTGTGAGGTTATGTAATTGATGTTTACTCGATGCTTTAACGGCGCCACAGCGTGAGTAGCGAGTACTTCTCAAACGATACCCCACTAATCTCTTTCGTATGACATTAAAAACGGTTTAATTGCCTGCGACAGCTGACGTCAAAGACGTCGACTCTGCGTCTACGTGTTAGCGAGAGAGAGAGAGAGATAGATAGAGGGAGAGAGGGGGGGGGGGTTAGTTTACAAGTGCCCAGCTATCGGGCAGTTTGTCTGAATGTGTGAGTAATGCGACGCAGGTGAATCTACAGCGTAAGCGACAACAACAACAACAAGGGAAAAGAGGTGATAAGAACAGCCGGGCATTATCAATGGAATTTTTGGGCAATTTTTGTATTATTTATTTTTTATTTATAAACTGGTTGATAAAGACAACTAAACACAAGTTGAACTAAAATATATACATATATATACATACATATATACTATGAGTCGAGACTATAGCTAAAAGTCAATTAACGTGCGAGTCGCGACTGGATTTACTAATTATTCATATAGAGTATACACATGCACATGCATGTGTGTGTGTGTGCGTGTGTGTAGGGTATATATAGAACTGATAAGGCGAAACCCAACAACAATCAGCGCACTTCACTTTGCTTATTTTCGCTCTTGTTGTTGTTGTTTTTATTTTGGGTTGGTTTTCGTTGTGGTTTTCATTTTCTGCTTTGCTGCCGCAACAGGTGAGCTTTGCGCTGACTAAAGCAGGGGGCATGTGAAATAGAAAGTTGATAAAATGTTTATTTATCGCTTAAGACTTGTTAATATCATATTTTATACACATATCGAGCATATTTCTCAAACATTTTAGCTTATATTTTGCATTTTCACCAGTTCAAAACTTTGCCCGAACACTTTTATCAGCACAGGCTGTGCTCTGATAAGATTGAGCACTCAATTAGTAATTATTAATGTGTATTAGTGCGGCGTGTAGTCAGCTCCGAGGGCTTAAATGCATGCACATTAATATTTTATAATTAGTAGCCAAGTCCAGGACAGAAAGTCGCTGCCTGCTAGGTGCTTTATATATTTATATGTGCCGTCACTTCAAAAATCGATGAAGCACGGTATATATGCATCATAAAGGCAACTTCTGTCAAAAATTCAGCAGCCTAGCACTTATGGTTTGGGCTGTGTGTTGATCATCAATCATTTTGGCAGTCAATCAAGTCAAAATGTTATTTCGCTCTGCTGTTAATGTTACGCTACTGTTAATGTTAATCTAACAGCAGCCAAAGTTGACATACTGTTATTAACAGTACAGCAACGATTTGAGCAGTCGTGGATCAACAATCAGTCAATCAGTCAATCAATCAATCAATCACACAAACAAGCAATTTTATATTTTAGCTTTACTTGGAATTAAATTTGATTTGTATTTCTTTTAGATGAGCCCACGGCCAACACATCGCAGGCGAGCAAATTTGATGATACTATGGAAAGTGCAACAACAACAACAACAACTGCGGCAACAGCAACAAACACAGCGAAACATTACAAGACAGCGAGCAAACAATACAAAAATAACAACAACAACAACAACAACAACAATAGCAACAACAACAAAGTGAGCAGCACGCGACGTGCAACAGCAGCAGCAGCGGCCGCAGCAGCAGCAGCAGCGGCAACAACTAAGAAGCAAACATATCGCAGCAGCAGCATAGTTGCTGCCACAGCAGCAGCAACAACGACAACAACTGCAACACTCAAATCAAACAGCAACAAACTTAACAGCAAAGCAGCAACAACAACAACAACAACAACAACAACAACAGCAGCAACAGCAACAGCAGCAGCAATTGACAACAAGAGCACGCGAGATAATAAACTAAGCGAGTTGCCAGCTAAAATTGCCGACAGTAGCAGCAGCAACAACATCAACAACAACAACAACAACAACCACCACAGTGATAATAGTATTAGTGAGAATAATTATGAGTTTAAGGCTAGAGATAAAGCGAATGTAAGTGATAGCAAAATGACGCTACAGCATGTGGCAAGCAGCGCAACAAGCGTGGCCACAACAACCAACAACAGCAACATCAGCAGCAGCAGCAACAACAACAACAACAACAGCAGCGATGATGCGGCCACAGCAGCAACAGCAGCAGCAGCAGCTGGCGACTGGAAAACTTCAAACAATTTGCGCTATTTGCACAAAAAGTTTAAGCGTTTGGCCAGCACCACCGAACCGGAAACGGGCGATGCGGTGCGCACCACATCGCTCTCATCCAATAGCTCGTTGTCGCCGCCGCCGCCGCTCTATAATGGACATGTGACACAACAGCAGCAGCAGCAGCAACAGTCGTCGCAGCAGCAGCAGGCCGGGCCTTTGCTGCCGGCCAGCAATGAATTCAGTGCCAATTTCGTAAATGCCAACAACAACAACAACAACAACAGCCATGAGGAGAGCAACAACAACAACAACAACAACAACAACAACAACAACAACAACAACAACAACAACAGCAGCAGTAAAAATATTGCTGTTGCTGGTGCGCCCAGAACACGTACACCGCTCAGCAACAGCAGCAACATCAGCAACAACAGCAACTATGCCAGCAATGCGACACTGTCGCCAGCAACATTCGCACAGCATCAGCAACAGACGCAGCCAACAACAGCAGCAACAACAGGCACAACAGCAGCAACTGCCACACCTTTAGCAGCAGCAACAACAGTAACAGCAACTGGTCGTTATGTTTGCCCGTATTGCAATCTGAACTGTGCAAAACCCTCGGTGCTGCAGAAGCACATACGTGCCCACACAAATGAGCGACCGTATCCGTGCGAGACCTGCGGCATTGCCTTCAAAACGAAGAGCAATCTCTACAAGCACTGCCGTTCCCGTTCACATGCGGCGCGCATGCGCGGCTTCGATGTGCCCGCCCATGAGGCGGATGGACTCTCCGATCAGGATGGCGACGGGGAGCTGAGCAACAGCAGTTCCGAGCTGCTGAGCGTGGAAGTCGTAAGTGTTCTAATAGAAATGTTAATTGGGGTGCTATGTTAATTAACAGCATGTTAGTTGGAGAGCTCTTCTTGGGTAAATGAGGAGCTGAAAGCTAAGTTAAAATAATATTTGGGGTGCTATGTTAAGTAACAGCATGTTAGAGAGCTGTTCGATTAACATAAGCAGAGAGCTGAGAGCCTATAAATGTTAACTGGGGTGGGTGCTATGTTACTTAACAGCATGCTAGTTAGAGAGCTGTTAGTAAATCAAAAGTAGTATATGTACTGTTAACACTGATTGATTAAAAGACGAACTGAAAGTCGAGATTAAAATATTAATAAACAGCGTGTTAGTTAGAAAGCTGTTAGCTTAACATGAGCTCTATTTTATTAAAGTTGTTTAACATAGATTGATTAATAATAATCCGCTCTTTGCAGCTGAGCCGCGCGGATTCGCCATATGACGAGCCCATGGCCTCGCCGACGCCTTCGCCATCCACGCTGTCCGCCGCGAAGAGCGCGTACTTGCAACAGCCGCCGCTGCCGCAGCACATGCAACAGTTGCCGCTGGGCTCGCCCGCCGCCGGAACACTGCCGCCCGCCACAGCCGACACGCTGCACTCGGCGACGGCGCAGCATCGCCAGTCGATTGACTACAAGCCGTACAAGCCCAAGTTTCACAATGCAGCGCTCTATGCGCCCGGCAGCAGCAAAGAGCAGCGGCAACAACAGCAGCAACAACAGCTGCAACAACAAAAGCTGCCGGCGCCGCAGCCAACGCTGGTGCATCCCACGCTCTCGCTGAGCACTCAGCTGAAGCTCAACAATCACATCAACTCGCATCAGGTGCAGCTGCAGCGACAGCTTCAGCAGCAGCAACAGCAGCAGCAGCAACAGCAGCAGCAGCAATCGCTGCTGATGGCTGCCGCAAATCCTGCTAATCCTGTTGTGCTGCCCGCGCTGGTGCCGCCGCCGCCGCTGCCCACGGGCGTCTATTATATGGGACAGCCGCAGTATTATAATCCGACTGCAGCTGCCATACATCAGCATGCGCTCGCTCTGCAGTTCCAGCAGCACTTTCAGCTACAGCAGCAGCAACATCAACAGTTCCAGCAGCAGCAACACCATCAACAGCAGCAGCAGCAGCAACACTCGCCGCTGCTAAAGGCGCCCCAGCAGCAGCAGCAGCAGCAGCAACAGCCGCAGCAGACGCCGCCGCCTCCGCAGCAGCAACAGCAGCAGGTGAGCTTATCAAGAGTTTTTTCCATGTGTTTCACCTGCTTAACAAATCCCTCCCTCTCCAGCTGGTGCGCTCCAATAGTCAGCAGGCGGCCGCCATTGCAGCGACAACAGCGCCGCCAGCCACGCCCACGCCCACAGCCAATCTGGGCAGCTTTGCCAGCGGCAGCGGCGGCATGCAAGTGGTGCGTAAATCTAAACTGAATATGTCCACAAAATGCCTTAATCTGCTTTTATTGTGGCCTATTTTTTAGAATGTGGAAAAGGTACAGGAGCACATCTCGAAGCTGATCTCACAGAACGAGGCCATAGTCGAAAACAAGGAGATACTGCTGCAGAAGAAGTATCCCAAGCAGCTGAGTCGCTCGCGCAGCTTCAACAATGCCAGCAACAACAACAACAGCAGCGCCAGCAACAACAACAGCAGCAGCAGCAATCACACGGCCAACAGCAACAGCAATCAGACAGGCAACAACAGTCAGCAGCTGGGCGAGACGAAGGTGAATCTGGCGCAGGCCATAGTGCTCAAGCAGCAACAGCAGCAACAGCAACAGCAGCAACAACAGCTGCAACAGCAGCAACAATACCAAATGTACATGCAACAGCAGCAACTGTTGCAGCTGGAGAGTGTCAATGGACTGCTCAAGCGCAGCAGCAGTAGCAGCAGCAGCGGCAGTGCCTATCCAGGACTTAAAGCCACGCCCACGCTGCCAGCAACGCCCACGGCGAATGTGAAGCTGCAACAATTGCCGCCGCCGCCGTCACCGTTGCCACTGCAAACGCTGCAATATCGTCAGGATCCGGCAACGCCCGTGCCCAAGCTGGAGCAGCAACAGCAGCCGCTCAATCACGCCCAGCCGCTTAATCTGTCCGCCAAAACGAAGCTAGCCATGCCCACAAAACCAGCAGCAACAGCAGCAGCAACAACAGCAGCAGCAGCAACAACTGTTGCTGCCGTGCCGAAGAGTACAGCAACAGCGGCTGCGCCGGCGCCGAACAATTCAATTATCAAGAATCTGTTGCTAAATGCGCGCGGCCTGGCCGTGCCCATTGGCGAGGGCGACGATGCCGTCTACTCCTGCCCCATCTGCGCCAACGAGTTCCGCAGCGCGGACGAGCTGAAGCACCACAACAGCACCTATTGCCAGGACGCGAACAGCAGTGCGACAATCAGTCCGGCCTCATCGCCCAGCCGGAAATACTTTCGCTCCAACTCAAAGTCGCTCAGCCTGCCGGAGCTCATGTGCGACATGGCCAACTCAAAGAATCCGCTATCCCTGGCCAAGCTCGCCTGGTCGCAGCTCAAGATCAAGCCCAGCACCGTGGTGCTCAGTCGGCTCAGTGCGGCACAGTCGCCAGCGCGCACCTCGACTGCAACTGCAACAACAACTGCAGCTGCAGTTAGCAGCAGCAGCAGCAACAACCCGCCAGCAACAGTTGCAGCAGCAGCTGTCGTAATCCCGCCCAGCATCGATGCCAGCGGCAGCGGCGGCGTCTCGCTGCGCTTTGTGGACGCGCCGTTGCCCTCGCCCGGCCCGTTGCTGGGCAAGACCCCGCTGGTGGACTATGCGGCACCACGCAAAGCTCCGGATGCCCAGGTGGTCATCACCAAAATGCACGAGGATCGGCTGGAGAACATCATCATTGAATCGCCGCCAGCGAAGCGGCCCAAGCTGAGCGACATCGCCATCGCGAGCAGCCTGAGCGGCAAGGCGTTTGCGCTGCCCGCGGGCGTGCAGCTTTTCCTGGGCGGCAATCAGGAGCTTCCTTTGTCGGGCACGTTTGGCGGCGGCAAGGAGGAGCGTTTGCGTCGCTTTACCTCGTCCGGCGGCAGCATGATACCCATCTCCGAGTGCCCCGAGCTGGACAAGAGTCCCAAAATGATACGCACCCCCTTGCTGTCGGGCGGCAGCTTTAAGGAGATGTCGCCGCGCCTCAGCGAGACCAAGGAGCGCAAATTGCCGCTGCCCGTGCCCAACAATGGCTATCTGCTCGCCAGCAGCAGCAACAACAGCAACAACAACAACAACACGCCGCAACATTTTCAGTTTCCGCCCATCAGCTCGATAACTGCCTTTAATCCTCTAACGCTGCCGCCGATGAGCAGCAGCAGCAGCAGCAGCGGCAGCATCAACCATGTTGTGGATGCCCACAAGTCCATACCGTATGTGCCCGGCATACCGGGTCCGGGCAGCCTGTCGCTGCTGCCGCCGCCGCCGCAGCAGCTGCACCTGCAGCCGCGCGGACGCAGTCCCAATCGCAAGCAGCCGAGTCCCAATTCCAATCCTCTGCTGCTGGACGCGCCGCTCAAGGCGCTGTCGCCGTTCGGCGGCGTGCAGAATTTACCCAGCGAGTTCAGTCGCCAGCCGCCGACGCCCGCGCAACGTCAGGCGCTGCAATGGAGCAGCAACAACAACAGCAACAACAGCAACAGCAGCAGCAACAACAACAACAACAACAGCAACAACAAGACGGCAGCAACAGTTGCTGCCGTGGACGTGAAGAAGGCACACTTCAATTTTCTGCGCATGGCTGACAACGTGAAGGAGCAGCAGCTGGCCCAAGAGGTGCGACACTTCAATTTCGATAATGTGCACAAGACGCAGGAGGCGCTGGCGCCGCTGCACGTCGACACGCCCGAGGAGGCAGCAACAGCAGCGACATCTGCAGCAACAACAGCAACATCTGTAGCAGCAGCAGCAACTGCTGGCACGCCCAGCTCGGCCAAGTCGAAATTCCTGCGACCCACCAGCCTGCCACTCAAGCCGGGCACCTTTACGCCCAAGCGTCATCATGGCATCACGCCGACAGCGAATACCCTGCCCCTGATCTCGCCCGAAACGCCGCGTCCCTCCAAGTCGTGCGTGCAGCTTTATTTGAACGGGCACGCCTACACGTATCTGGGTCTCAAGTCCAGCACAAAGATGTTTTACTGTACCGTGAACTGTCCGCAGCCGTCGTATGTCGCGGGCATGCACAAGCTGTCCATGTACAGTGTGTGGCAGGTGTGCGAGGAGAATCAGCCGCATCCGTTGGGCTTCAAGCCCAGACAGGTGATGGCCCTCTACGATTCCAGGCAGAAAATGCTCGGCTACGGCTCGACCATGTCGATGGCGGGCACAGGCGCCGGCAAGCTGCACTACGCCCTGGTCAGCTCACAGCAGACGATCAGCAGCTGCTCGACGGCGATCAATAGCCAGAACAAGTTCTATCAGCATCAGCCGAAGCAGCCGCCGACCTCGATCGGAGCGCTCAGCGAGGCGAATGTGGCGGCCAAGGCTAGCGAGGAGGATGCCGCCGCCGCCGCCGCCAAGAAGCTGGAGTCGGGCCAACTGCTTGTCGGTGGCTATGAATCGCATGAGGATTACACATACATACGCGGACGTGGACGCGGCCGTTATGTGTGCTCCGAGTGCGGCATTCGCTGCAAGAAACCCTCCATGCTCAAGAAGCACATACGCACACACACAGACGTGCGTCCGTTCACCTGCAGCCACTGCAATTTCAGGTAAGCTTACAGCTACAACATCCTATTGAAGCTCCCAGTATTTAATATTAATACTCAATCCGACAGCTTCAAGACCAAGGGCAATCTGACCAAGCACATGCAATCGAAGACGCACTTCAAGAAGTGCATCGAACTGGGCATCAATCCGGGTCCCATGCCCGCTGATGGTGAATTTCTCGATGTCGATGTCGAGTTCGATCAGCAGTCATCAACATCCGCTGGCGGACGCACCTCATCCATGGCCGGCGAGTCCGATTCCGATGATTACAGCGACAACGAATCCGAGAGCAGCGGTAAGTTCCATCAATTTATATACAAGAGCTCTGCGTCGAGTCAAACGAAACGATCAAACGCTTAGTTCGAGCGTTTCAAGACTCACAACAGTTGGGTTCGAGCTGTTTGAGTTGTAGTTGCATTTAAGCTCGAACATGTTGCTGAGTCAAGTTCGATGCGGAGCTCTTATATATACATCCATATCCTCCTCACGGAGAGACTCACTTTTATTTGTATTGCAGACACCGACGAGTCGAAGTCGCGCATGAAGGAGCACGAGGCGGCGCGCGGCCTGCTCTCGCTGTCCATGACACCGCCCATACCGCAGAGCGTATCGCCCTATCCCGCACAGCTGTCGGAGGCGCCCGGTCCGGCGGCCAGTCCGGCGAACAGCATTGGCTCCTCGGCGGGCAGCGCCGCGGGCGGTTCGCAGCCAAAGCGTCAGGTGTGCTCGTTTACCTCGCCGAAGCCGCCGTTCGACTACCAGAAGCAGGAACAGTATTACTCCAATCCGGAGGAGTCCAAGCCGAAGCGTGATGTGCCCAACGATGAGAGCAGCGCGCCCATGGATCTGACCAAGCCGCGTTCCATGCAACACATTTTACCCGCTGCTGCCGCTGCTCCCGCTCCCGGCCAGCCGTCGGAGCAGACGCTGCCCAAATCGCAGGCACAGCAGATGCGCGATGTGATCTTTGGTGCCGGCAACAACGAAAGCGGTTTCATGAAGACGCTGATTTCGGTGTCCGACAAGGTGCGCATCTCCGCCGAAATGGAGGAGCAGGCAAAGCGGGACAGCGAAGGCGACGATCTGCTGCTGCAGACCTACATCAAGGAGCAGGCGCTACAGCATGCCAAAATGAAGCAGAGCCAGTTCAGTCGCAGCTACCTGGTGATGACCAGCACCAGCACCTGCACCACAAGCACTAGCAGCAGCAGCTCTGCCGGCACGCCCATTGTCAGCAGCAGCGTCGGCGGCAGCCTGCCGAAGCCGGCCATCAGCATCACGGAGCTGCCCAGCATTGAGGTGCACGAGGTGCAGGAGGTGCAGGTGAAGCCTGAGCCACCGACCGTGGTTCAACTGCAGCTGCCCGAGGAGAGCGAGCCATCCGAGGCACAGGTGGAGCGCGAGCAGGCAACCATAGCACTTCCTGCCGCTGCGCACGTCGCCAAAGCCAGCACGGAGCTGGCCATGCCGCAGCCGCCGACGCCGCACAATGCCAATCTGCCCGCTGCAGTGCAGCAGCCGGATGCCACGGATTTTAGCGGTGTGCTAAGCAACAGCAACAGTAGCCTGGCAGGAGGCAGTGCATCCGCGCGCACTGTCATCGTCGGCGAGGAGGGATTCAAGGCGACGCCACCAACGAGCAGCGCCGCCGAACTCCAATCCATCCCTGCAGCAGGTGCTCCTGCTCCCGCTGCAGCTGCTGCCGCGTCCGCGCCTGGCAGCTATCCCGGCCGTGTGGTGCCGCCGCCACCGCCGCCGATTGCCAGCGATGCACGGCCCACGTGCATCATATGCAGCAAGACGTTCCAGCGACAGCATCAGCTTACCCTGCACATGAACATACACTATATGGAGCGCAAGTTCAAGTGCGAGCCGTGCAGCATCTCGTTCCGCACGCAGGGTCATCTGCAGAAGCACGAACGCTCCGAGGCGCACAAGAACAAGGTGATGATGACGTCCACGTTTGGTGTGCCGACCACCTCGAATCCGCGTCCGTTCGAGTGCACCGATTGCAAGATCGCGTTTCGCATACACGGCCATCTCGCAAAGCATTTGCGCTCCAAGACGCACGTCCAAAAGCTGGAGTGCCTGCAGAAGCTGCCGTTTGGCACCTATGCAGAGATCGAACGCGCCGGTATCAGCCTAACCGAGATCGATACCAGCGACTGCGAGAATTCGCTAATATCGCTCAAGCTGCTTGCACAGAAGCTGCTCGAGAAGGATCCGAATAAGCTCAGTGGCTATACAACGCCCTCGGGCATGCTGCAGCTGGCCACAGATACGCCAGCTGCCGGCCAGGACAGCGCCAGCGAGGATGGCTTCAGTGCGGCAAACAGTGCCGCAGCCTCGGCCATCGCTTCGCTGGACAACGACAGCGCAGGCAATACGCCCAAGCGCGCCAGCTCCATGTCCGAGGATGAGACGCTCACCAACGGCCTGAGCCACGGGCACAGTCTCAAGCGTCGTCTGCCCGGCAGCAGCTTCAGCAGCAACGGCGACGAGAGCGACAATCCCCTCGAGACGACCGGCGGCAGCAATAGCATCGAGAAGCGACCGAGGAGCAATACAAACGAATTGTCGCTGCCGGTGGCGACGGCCAGCAACTGACAGTACATGTACATGTTGCAGCCCACCTGAGTGTGGCCCCATCACTACCAGGCCTACCAGTTATGGCCAACAAATCCAAATCCAAATCCAAACCCGACCCAAGCCCAGCCACAGCAACAAGCTAGGAGCAGCAGCCGTGGATGCGGCAATGACCAAAACATCAACGAGCGCATATCAAATGTCTAAGCATATCGCATTTGGGCACACAACAATGTAAACTCTACACACACACGCACACACATACACACGCACACGCACACACTCGATTGGCTACTCTTGCAGCACCTGACCTTAACCCCAGGTGTAAGCCAACGAGCTGGCAGACTTTAAGTGCTTGAAAAGCTGTCAATCAAAACAATGTTGATAACTGGCAAACACTTTGAGCTCCTATCTATGAGCTATAGCTACTCACTACAGGTGTGCAGGTGTGTGTGTGTGTGTTTGTGTGTGTGTGTGTGGGCAAGTCAAGCATATGTACAATATACATATACTATATAACGTATAAAGCAACAGTTGCTTGCAACTTAAGTATTTAGTTTAGTTTATTGTCAACTCTCAGCTACGAAAAGTTGTTTAAACTCGTCTATACATATTTCTCTATATATATATATATATTCTAGTATATATAGTCCTAGTTAATATATATATATATATACACAAGCACACACACAAAACAAATGCATATACGTATATATATATATATATCTATATATATGCATATATATGAATATCTATAATTTCTTTTTCGAAATGCTAAAAAAAAAACTCCTGAAGTGCTGTGAGTCCTATCTATAAACAACAAAAAAAAAAAGATGATTTTTTTGTTGTGTGTAAATATTAGTTAATAATTTATAAGGCTTAGCCCAAGTCCACGCCCACCAGACCAAACTCCCCTCCCCTCCGACCGAACCCAACCCGAACCCGTTTTTCCATTAAATCACGTAGTTCTTCCTTATTTTGAAGTTTGTTCTATGCATTGGATTTGCGAACACCCTATTATTATGTTTATGTTTTAATTTTTTAGATTAACAACAAAGAAAAAAAAAAAACGAGACCACGAGACTCTTTTCAATTGTTTGTTTTAATTAATTAATTATATATATATATATGTGTGTATATGTATATTTAATTAGCGAAAGCAAATTGAAAATCAAATAAAATTACAAAAAAAGAAAACTAACTATAGATAAAGATTATGTTGTCATATAAACATTAAGTTTTGTAGGCTAGCTAAACACACACACCCACACACCAACACACACACACACACATGCACATAAAGTTTATAGAAATTAATGAAAATTATTGTACAAAATGGCTACAAGTATAGCAAAGTATATATATTTATATATATTATATGGTATATATATATATATATATGTGTGAATGTATATGTTTAACAAACACAAAAATGAAGTGATTTATTACATTATTGTAAAATATATCAACAAACAAAACAAAAACTGAGCATGAAAACTTTACAAACAAACCACAAAAAAAATAAATGACACAAAAAATAAAATAAAAAAAAACATCAATGTGAAAATCGAATTTCGTAGTTGTTCTTTAATTTTTACGTCCAGTTCTAAAAGCGCTTCTGAAAGTACATATATTCCTGTAAGATTTGGGGCATAGTTTAGTTTTCGAGTTTATGGGATTAGCTTGGATGTAGCTCACCAGCAGAAATGCGGAGCCCAGGATCAGGGCACGCTCCTTGGCCGTCAGCCGGGCATCGCTGAAGTAAATGTTTGTCGTATACTGCGATTTGCTGGCCAACCATTTGTGGTCTATGGAGGCGCGTAGGTCGCCGCCGGAGTGAATCTGTCGTGGGCATATTTATAAGATTAACAGCTAGAAGTAAACATGTGCTTCGAGCTCACCTTGAAGTAGCACTCTTTGGGCAGGCAGTGGCAGCAGAAGCCGGAATTGGCGGGTCCTTCGACACAGAAGACCGGCTGATGCGTGTTGCCGTCCTCAATGTAAAACTCCGGCTGTGTGAAGGTTGGCGATTGCACGACACGTCCCAGCACATTGCCGGGCGGTATCCATATCTCCAGATTCTTGGGCTGGCAACATATTGCACCGACTGCCAGTTTCTTGCGGAATACCAACGCTTCCTGGTGCGTTTTGTCCAGCAGATGCATCTGAAATGGCCGAGCTGCGCCCCAAATCATGCGGTTCCTGCCTGTGGAGCTCTCGGAAGCGCCAAAGATGGCATCACCCAGCGGCGAGCGAACCACATAACGATTCTCCGAGGAAACAGCCGTGAGTGCTGCAAGGTTGAAATTAATGCTTATGAATGAAGTATATGCTTTAAGCTAGAGTCCAGCATCGGGTCATCCGTTAGAATCAAAGACGAACACTCAATTGATTCAGCCGAAAAGAGACAGACTCGAGCTTACGGGCAGCGAGCTGAGCAACAAGTTCGAGCAACATGTTTGAATGCAACTGCAACTCGAACAGCTCGAGCCCAAACGTTTTGAGTCTTGACTCGCTCGACCGAAATATATAAGCTGGAGTATCCGGAACGCGTTTCGGTTGATTCGATGCTGGGCTCTAGACCAAACCTCCGGATCTCGTACGCACAATCATTCAGCTCGAAAGTCTGCTCAATATGCACAGAGGGCAAATCCGCGAGGCAATCGTAGCCGGCCAGGGGTATAAAGGTGCGACTGCCGGCGACCGTAGTAATGGGCAATGGAATGCGCGGAGCTTCTGTAAAGGAATTTGCACTTATCAATTGGTGTCTCAATATGATCAAGGGAAACACGGCACTTACCTGATGTTGGTCGCGGCTGGGCAGTTATGCTGATTTGGGCGTCATAAACTGCAAGCAGAACAAAAGCAAAATTTCTAATCTGTTTTCGGTACAATGTTTTCTTTAAATCGATCACTTGGTCAATTGGACGGCTAACAAAGGCACTTGATAGGGCGAAACGATAAACGACGGCCATAAAAGCAAAACAGCAGAACAGCTGCTGATAAGATACGGATATGGACGTATGACACACACCACCCTCTACCAATTAATCCAGTTGTGTCGTTTACAGCAACACCTATACCACTGGAATAATTATCAGTTACTAAAAAAAACATTAACCGTTCGTCATGATTCATGTGAGTTTCAGTCGGAATTTCAATATTGGGCTAGAGTTTACCTCGAGGTTCGGCTTCATTGGTAGTTTGAGCCACGCGTATTTCACTGTCATATTGTAAGGTGCGCACCGCATCATTTTGCAGCATTTTAATTAGTTGTTTGTTTGAACAGGTACGCAGTTGTTTTTAAACGCTTGCAATACAAAACAGATCAACGGACAACTGTGTGACCAAATCTCAATAGCATTAAAATACCCAAGTAAAAGGACCGAATCAAATTGGGCTGCGTTGCCCCTTTTTGCGCTACTCATTTTTGCGTTAACATTACGCATTAAAGACACGAGTGGCCACAACAATAGCCGAGCACAGCTGTAACTAAAAAGGTGTTAATTTTTGGTTAAAAAGACAAACTTCGCATTTAAGTCGGACTGTTTCTGCTTTAAAACCGTGATTGATGAGTTGGCAACGTGCACTAGGTAAGTTTATATGGCGCTTAAAGTCAAAAGTTGAAATTAAAGCAGCAGTTGTTAAATGAATCAAACACAAACAACAAACGGGCTGCTGCTGCTCTTCAAGCATGACTGGCAGAGAGCAAAAGAGAGAGAGAGAGAGAGCGAGAACGTCATAAAGAGAGTGCGAAAGCTTAACTTGCGGTTAAATTTAAGTTCATTTGAACTAGCAAATCAGACGAATGTTTGGTATTTGTTATGATTGAAAAGCTCAAATAGTTAATAAACAATAAGTAAGATTGCGGCTTATTTAGTCGTTGTTGTTGCTGCATTGGGGGCTGTTATCTCGATTGCGTGGCCGAGGGCGATTGAGCACTGCGCAGACGCTGGAGCGGCATAAACAAATGCCTTCACCTTTAGACTCCTTTTACGCTCCGGAGGCAGCGTAACGTCAGTTTACTTCTGGCTATCGCAATAGCCTGGCCGCGTACGCGGTCTGTCGCATACACCTGCCCCCTCCGCTGACAAGAAGATAAGACGGCAATGTGCAATAATCAATAAACGTGCTTTTGAAAAATAAACTTCCAATAAAAGTAGCTCTAGATTAGTTCAAAGTTGATACTGAATTTCGTGCCAGCACACAATCCTTTATATTTACGTCTGGAATACCAACAGAATACAAAAAGAAAAAGCAGCATACGCAAACTCTCATATATTTTCTAGCGTGCATTATTTACGCATCCCCCTCACCCCCCAAACAAATTCGAGGGGGTTGCTGCTCGCTCGCTCGCAGCGCTCCGTGTGAGTGGGACACAGAAAAAACCAATCTATGTATATGAAAGTCAAGTACCGTTACGGAAAACAGTAAAAAAACAATTCCATTTGAACGAAAGTAAATACGTGACAGAGCGTGGGTCATGTCTCTGGAGGATCCGTTTTTTGTTGTCAAGGAGTATGCATTTTATTGCACTTGCAGCGCCAACATATTCTGATGCAACCCTGTACACCCCCCCCCCCCCCCCCCTTCCCTCCCTCTCTTTTTGTCTTTATAGCGAGGTATTCAAAGCGCTGAACAAAACACGCGGACTCTATTTGCGTTGGCGTGAGCTGGGCGAGAACGGAGGCGCCGAGGTTGAATGGACCACAACGGAGCTGCGTAATTCGCTGCGCAGCATTGAATGGGACCTGGAGGATCTGGAGGACACCATCAATATCCTTTTGCTAACAAATCAGCCAACTACAGCTACAAATCACAATTCAATACACATTTGTTGCCATTGTCAATCCTTAACTGTTTGAATTCTTTATTTTAGCACGCATTGTTGAAAAGAATCCCACAAAGTTTCGCATAGATAATCGTGAACTCTCCAGCCGGCGACATTTCATAGACAACACACGCGATGAGGTCAAGCAGATGAAGGATAAGATGAGCCTGAACCGGAACAGGGACAGAGACATAACCGCACATCAGCCATTGCTCGAGAACGAAACACGCAATCACAGCCAGAATCACAGCCAGGCCAACGAATATCATACATCGCACAACGATCGCACCTATCTGGTAGATTGCCCCAATCCGCAATCTGTGGCCAATACCATAGCTGGCACCATGTCCGCCGCAGCAGCAGCGGCAGCCGCGACCCGGCACAGCGGCACCAAATACTCCAAGCTGGAGAACGCACTGGACATCGATAGTCCCAGCCATTATGGCGGCAGTCTGGACAGTCCGGGGCATCGGTATGTGGGCGAAACGGTGTCCATACAGCAGCGCATGATACAGGGTCAGGACGAGCAGCTGGATATGATAAGTGATTCCATTGGCACTCTTAAGACTGTTTCGCGTCAGATTGGCGTCGAATTGGATGAGCAGGCGGTCATGTTGGATGATTTCGGGAATGAGTTCGACACAACCGAATCCAAGCTGGACACAACAATGAAAAAAGTTGCCAAAGTTTTACACATGAATAACGGTAATATTACTTATCTTATTAACTAGCTAAAATGTATACTTATATGTGTTTTTGTAATTCTCTTGCAGATAAGCGTCAATGGGCCGCGATTCTTATACTTTGTGTACTGTTATTGTTTGTGATAATTTTGTTTATTATTTTGTAATTGATTTGTTGCGCTTCGTTTGATTGTGTGTGTGTAGTGTAAATTGATTAGGTTTATATTTGAAATAAGTATAAATTGCAAATTTTAAATGAAATTCCATATTTTATATATATTTTATTAGCCAGACAACAAACAATTTCCTTAGCTGTATATACACGTTTAAACATTTATTAACTAAAATCATCATCAAATCGAGTCTAATGTAAACGTATTTCCAAAGACAAACCGAAACATGCGTTATTTCCGGCATAGGCTAGATGTAATACTTGCTAAATGGTACAATTTATATGTATGGGAAAGAATATATCTGTATATCAAGAGAGTTATTTAAACAAATGAATACCTGTATGCAGTTGAGTAAATATATAAATCATTCAAAGACAGTTTTCTATTTTTGTTATTTATAGCTGCTGTATAGGCAATGTTAAGCTGCTGTTAAACTCAGTCCGGTTAACGGCAAATTGGCTTATAGGTAGAAAAAAAGTGTGACCAGATGCACTAAGCAGAAAATGAACTGAAAACAGAATGCGCAATGCAAATTGTGAAATATAAATTTGTTTTGCTTGGCGGCATTCGTGCTCTCTCTCAAATGTAAGTCGGTAAACAATTAATAATTGCATTTATTTTAATTAGTTTTGTATTTAGACTACACATGAAGCGCAACAAAAACAGCAGCGCAGCAGGCGGCGCCAAGAAGAAGCCGAAAAAGAACGAAAGCAGCGGCAGCGATGAGGAAACATCAGTTACAATAGCCACAGAAAAAAAGACCAAGCCAAGCTACAACAGCTTTGAGCAATTTCTCAGCCACATGCAAGCGCAACGCGTTGCGACCGCCAGAGATGTACACGATTTCGCCTTTAAAAAGAAACGTGTGCGCGTCCTAAGTACCGTTAGCGATGTGAAGGAGCAGTCCAAAGGCGGCGTCGTCTATTGGATGTCACGCGATGCGCGCGTGCAGGACAATTGGGCGCTGCTGTTTGCTCAGCGTCTGGCGCTGAAGCTGGAGCTGCCGCTGACGGTGGTCTTCTGTCTGGTGCCCAAGTTTCTAAATGCCACCTTGCGGCACTACAAGTTCATGCTAGGCGGGCTGCAGGAGGTGGAGCAGCAGTGTCGTGAGTTGAACATCTCCTTCCAGCTGCTGCTGGGTCCGGCTGCGGAGCGTTTGCCGGAATTCGTGACAGCCGAGGACATTGGCGCGGTGATCTGCGACTTTGCGCCCTTGCGGCTGCCGCGTCAATGGGTCTCGGATGTGGTCAAGGCCTTGCCGGGCCATGTGCCGCTCACCCAAGTCGATGCACACAACATTGTGCCGCTGTGGGTGACCTCCGAGAAACAGGAGTATGCAGCGCGCACCATACGCAACAAAATCAACTCGAAATTGGGCGAATTTCTCAGTGAGTTTCCGCCCGTCATCAGGCATCCGCATGGCAGTGGGCAGGGTAAAGAATCCACTGATTGGACTGCTGCCCACGCGCTGTTGACCTGCGACAAGACCGTGGATGCGGTGGACTGGGCCAAGCCCGGCTATACGGCTGGCTGCCGCCAGCTGTACGAGTTTTGTACGCGACGCTTGCGACATTTCAATGAGAAGCGCAATGATCCCACGGCCGATGCACTGTCCGGACTCTCGCCCTGGCTGCATTTCGGTCAGATATCGGCACAGCGCTGCATTCTGGAGGTGCAGCGTTATAGTGCCATGCACAAGGCATCGGCGGATGCCTTCTGCGAGGAGGCGATTGTCCGTCGCGAGCTGGCCGACAACTTTTGCTACTACAACGAGCACTACGATAGCCTGAAGGGTCTGCATGACTGGGCATATCAAACGCTGCAGGCGCATCGCAAGGATAAGCGCAGTCCGTGCTATACGCTCGAGGAATTGGAGCAAGCGCGCACCTACGACGACCTGTGGAACTCGGCACAGCTGCAGCTGGTGAAGGAGGGCAAAATGCATGGATTTCTGCGCATGTACTGGGCCAAGAAGATATTGGAGTGGACGGAAACGCCGGAGCTGGCATTGGAATACAGCATACTGCTGAACGACAAGTACAGCCTGGACGGACGCGATCCCAATGGCTATGTGGGCTGCATGTGGTCCATAGGCGGTGTTCACGACCAAGGCTGGAAGGAGCGCGACATCTTTGGCAAGATACGCTACATGAACTATCAGGGCTGTAAGCGCAAGTTTGATATTAACGCCTTTGTGATGCGCTACGGTGGAAAGGTGCACAAGTAGAAGGAGAATTAAAGCTAATTACAATGCGCAAATTGGTAAATGAGAAAATGCCTTTCGGTTGTTTTTGTTTTCTTATGTTTTCCACATTCCATTTAATGTATAAAATAGTTCGATATAAGATCTAAAGGTTCAAACGCTGGGCGTTTAATCCTTTTCAGCAATTTTGTTTAGATGATCCTCGATCTCCTTCTCGTCGAGTATGCGGAACTGGGGATTCGACTTGCTGACAACCCCGATTTCGATGCCGTTCTGCCTAAAGTCAACTGCCAACACGGTGGAGAGACAAGTAATGGCCAATTGAATGGTCTTCTCCTCGGATAAATTATTCTTGTATTTCTTTTCCAGAAAGCTGTTGGCGTCAATCATTTTGGCACCCACCGAACAGGCACGGAAACCGCAATAGTAGCCGGCCGGATCGGTTTTGTAGACACACGGACCCAGTTCATCGTCATAGGAGATGAGCACCATGCTGCAGCCCAGCGGACGCATCTCGGCATTTTGCGTGTACACCTGATTGATGTCGGCTATGCGACGGCAGAGCACATCCACGGGCATCTCGTAGCCGTATTTGTAACGGAAATTGGCTGCTTCATAGCGTGCCTTTTGCACCTGCGATCGTGAGTCCGCTGCAAAAGGTAATTATTGAACATGTTCCGCTCTGATAATGCATTCAATTGTTGGGCTTACCAATGCGCCCGGTCATAACGCAACCAATTTGCTTGGTGATGCCAAATAAATGTGTCACAGTCTCGGGCACAATATTCTTCTCGGTCACCTTCTTCTGGGTGGCCACAACGGCACAGTCGCCGCTCTTCAAAGCCACGGTGGTGATGTTCTCCTGGTCGATGGCCTTAAATGCATACTCTAAACGACGGGGTATTATTTAATTGGAATATTAAATGAATGCTCTATTTTCCGCATAACTTACCCACTTGGTAGAGGCGTCCCTCGGGCGAAAAGATTGTAATGTGTCTATCGAAACCGGCTGAACTTCCGCGAGACATTTTCGTTTATTTTTTATAATTTGACTGTGCACAAATGCAAAAGAGGCTTTTTGATCAACTATTCAATTAACTTTCGTTGCCGTACTCACCTTTTTTCTATTTAATTTCAAACCTACAACTTTATGTGTGCTTGGTTTTCAGCTTTGCTCGCAGATGAAATTTATAAAGTCATTGTTGGCTAGGGCTGGCTGAAACATATCGATTTATCGCACGATAGTTGACGTGCTATCGTTTCTGGTTTTGTGTGAATGGCAAGCAAATAAATCGATAGGCATGCAGAGCTGACTGGCTACAAATTTGCGGTAAAGCGAATGGCAGCTTAAAAAGGAACAGGTAAATATGTGAGAATAGAAATGAAACAATATTAAATACATGTTTTAGTGTTAAATTAAGTGTAAGCAATATTCGGTTCGGTGTTTTCGCATTACGAACATGCACGAGGATGATCTGAAAAATCAATTAACTATTGCGCGGAACGAGATTAACAACTTGAGGTACAATGAAATCCTTGCATATTGCTGAAGTTCAAGTTCAAAGTTATTTATGTACCTTGAATTCGATTCCATGTGCAGACAGCAAGTGCGCAACTTGCAGCATGTGCAGCGCAAGGACATTGAAACAATAAACCGGCTGCTGCAGGATTTTCGCTGCGAAGGCTGCGCCAGCAACATAAATGCCAAGGGCAAGGACAAACCGGAATCGCTCATTTTGCAGGTGCGTGCCAGGTGAGTGGGGGGGCATCTTAGCAAACAATATTAACCATAAGTGAAACCATCCAGCACGCCACCAATGTTATCAATGTGAACGGTTGTGAGGGTGTGACCAATTTTAAGCCCATTGGCATCATACGCAGCGCCTTTCCAGAGAAGCGCGCCGTGCCCCGCCAATCGAGCGTGGGCAGTCGACTTCGTAGCCTCATACAGCTCAACGATGGCGTCTTTACCAATCCGGAACACTCGCTGGAAGGCCTAACCGACTTCTCGCACATGTGGCTCATCTATCACTTCCATCGCAACAACGCACATCCGAAGGCAAAAGTTGCACCGCCACGTTTGGGTGGCGAGCGAATCGGAGTGTTCTCTACACGTTCCCCGCATCGCCCCTGTCCCATTGGGCTGTCGCTGGTGGAAATTGAGAAGATTGACGGCGCCACCATAAGCTTCTTTGGCACTGATATGGTAGATGGCACGCCTGTACTGGATATCAAACCGTATATACCATATTATGATGCGCCAGCTCTAAGCGTCGACCCAGGTGCGTGTTTGGCCGGCTTTTACACGGATTCCCTTTGCATTGATTCCAATTGTGTCCATCCTAAAAGGTCGTACTACTGCTATGCCGAATGAAAACAGCGCCGACTTTTATGATTCACGACAGGAGCCGGACGGCGAAGAATCGGATCTCGAACTATATGGCGCCGCTGGCTATACCGCCAGCAATATACACGCGGATGGATTAGGCATACAGCCAACGCCGTCAGCACCACCATTGCCCAGCGCAGTGCGTGTGCCTAATTGGGTGGTGGCCGGTCATCGGCTGACCGTTTGCTTTAACGAGCATGCCGAGGCTCAGCTGTTGGAGCTGCAGGTGCATAAGCAATGCATTGTGGACATATTGGAGGCGGATCCACGTTCCGTATATTTGCGCACAAAATACGGCTCACAAATTTTCACCTTTCAGCTAAGCGAGGTCACGGTCACCTGCAAGTTTGACGACAAAGCTGGCACAGTGACTGTTGTCCAAGTGCGACGCAATGAGAATATTCAGGTGACCGCATTGGAGGGGGAGCCACGCAATTCTTAATGGAGAGAATGCCTCTCCTCATCTTATCATAGGTTTTAAAAACTGCATTCTGTTGGTTGCGCTTAACTGCTTTGTAGTCAAGTTAATAATGTGTTTATACTTAAGTATTCCACGTTGAGGAGCTTTAAAATGTAAACAGTTTCGATTTGTCGATTACGTATAATAATATATATATGTATGTGCTTATTATGTAAAGATAACAACTGTGTTTATATTCAGCTAGTCTAAGTTATGTATCTTGTGCTGTTCCTAACTCATCTTTTCTTTCTTTTTCTTTACTAGCACAACACAACATGAGCGCTACATTCACTTGGCCAGAGTTTCTTAGCCAGGCCAAACAATTTCTGGACATCTCACAGCAATTAAACGATAGCTGGCAATTGTATAAAAAAGTGAGTGCTGCTCAATCTTAAATTCCACTTAACTAATTTTTCATCTTCTAGGATGACGGAGAACCCAACAGTTTTCTGAAATACACGCAAAAGATCAAATGCAAAGCGAACGATGAGCTGATTAATGTGGAATATCACATCGTATACAGCGTCTCCTATCAGGTGCCAATGGTCTACTTTCAAGCACATAGATCAGGTAAGTCATAACTCATATGCCATTCGGCTTTTACATCAGTTTTAAGCAATTATTATAAGTTATTTCGTAGACGGTCGCCTCTTGGATTTAGAGGCCACTTGGAGCGTATTTATGCCAGACGCATCGCGTACCGATCTATACGAAATGCTAACGCAGATGGAGCATCCGGTGCTGTTTCGCCCATTCATGGCACTGCATCCTTGCCGCACCTGCGACATTTTAGCCCAATTCGGCAAACAGAGTAGAAATCTTGTACTAACCTTTATAAGTATATACGGTCCGTATGTTAAGTTAAGTTTAGCTAATGCCTACGGCTTATATATTGAAGAAAACCAAAGAAGCATTGATTAATAACATCTATACAGATAGATTGTATTTAATATTGGCTTGTTTTAAACACTGATTACAGGCGTGGCTTACATAGATGGTTATGATTCTTTGTTTTCTATTCTAATCAGATAATATATATATATATGTATTTCAAGAGCCTTGGCACAATCGAAAACCAATTTGGGGTTTATTATAATAAGCCAGAAAAAGCAGAGGCAAGTTTTCAATCGAATCGAAATACCTAATTAATTTAATGTTTAAGCACTTGAAGCTGCATAATGGCACATTTATGAATATACTACAATAAAAGTATAAACAATACGAGTACAATAAGTATTTTTATATACAACAAATGGGGGGAATTTCGAAAAGTACTTATTTTTAACTCATTTTTAGACAACTAACATCGATGCTTTTTAATTAGTTTATTTATTATATTTTTTGGCTTTTTTGGTTAGTTAGTTAATTTATTTGCTATTCCGGCTATTTCTGCTTCTGAAGTCATAGATATTTTTATATTTTTTATATGATTAGTGTAGTTTTTTTTTTTTAAGTTTAGCTTATTTTATGTAAATAAATACACTTTAGTCTGTGGTTCTATATAGTACATAGTTATTAATCTTATTGTTTAGACTGTATTTAATTTGAATTTTATATAGTTTGTTTGGTTTATTTATCACTAATAGTAGTATATATTCTTTTCATTTATAATTAATGTTAACTGGCTACTGTGTGGCATTTGCAACCCGACGCCAAGACACAAGAAAGCTATTCGTTTCCATTTGGAAACGAATACACAGTTTTGTGGGCGCTACGATTCGCATCGAAAATGTTATTTGCAAAAAATTAAATCGATTTATATGCATTTTGTATATATATATTTGCTTTGCTTCTAATTGAAATCAAAAAGATTATGTCGCATGCATTACAACTGATGCACATACATGTTTATTTAGTTCATTTTTTGAATATCTTCGAATCTGATCTCTAGACTAGTCTAACATAAAGCTAACACCTGATGTCTGAGTATAGCTTCGACATCAACATTTCTATTTGAATATATGGACTTATTAATACAACAACTGAGTATTTTCATGCTCTTGTATAGTTGGTAAACAAATAGGTACTATGTGTATATATCAGCATAATATTTGATATATTTAAATATTCAATAGTTTAGAGCATGCTTATTATATGCCTGCAAGGAATGCTTCAATAATATCAATTCAATATTCATTCTATTCTATCTTAATAGTACATCTATTTGATATATTATATGACTTGCAACTTACATGCATATATATTTATATATGTTGCACGTACTACAGAGCTTCCAGTTAATGTTTAACTATAGTACTTAAATATACAATCCGATGAGGGTCTATGAGTATACTTACTAAAGTTTCGGCTCAGTTATTGATTCGATTCTAGTTCTTTCATTTGTTTTGTTTGTCTGAGTATCTGTGTCTGGCAAATACATGCGTGTTATTATAGGACTATATTAAATATACACATTTAGCATTTGTTCGTACTTGGTTGTATCTGATTTTATGTATTGTATTTTTTGTTTTGTTCTTTATCAAAATTCATTTAAAGCTGCACCATTTCATTGATATTTTGTATATCAAGTTACATTTTTACTATATACAATATATAATAAATAAATAACATATGTTATATAAATATTTGCTAGCTTAATGCGGGTGCTGCTGTGTGTTCAAATTAAATCAATATACTAATTAAATCTCATTCCAAAAAATTTTTAAAATGTTGCCAATGATATGTTTCAATATGTGTGGGTGCTTTTTTTTAAAAAGAAACAAATTCGTTTTCCTCCTTGTACATCAAATAAAACTCTAATTTGTTAACACACAGCGCGCAGCATTTATATTCAAATGTCGACGGATTTTATTGTAAAAATATGTATATGTAAATGTCTATATATATATCCATATATATATCTATATATATATTTATTCGTGTGTAGAATTGTGCACTATTTTTAAAATTCGCACTACAATGTTTGGTCTCATTTTAGTTGCATTATTGGACAAGTTGTGTGTGTGGGTGTGTCTAAATGTGTGTGTGTGTGTGTGTCCTTACAGTGTCTAATAAATACATGTACCACTCTATATAGTACATCTAAAGCTTTCACATGGTTAACACTGATGCATAACTCTGAGATTTTTTATACTTAAATATAACTATCCTATATATATACGATATATACAAACTAGCTGCGCATATGCATATGTATATATATATATACAAATATATATATATATATATATATATACAGCACACTGAACCATCTGGAATGTATGTGACTTTTATAGTACTCGGCGTACGTAGTGGTATATTTTGACTATTAAAAATTATTTATAAAGCTCTACAACTCACTCGAACTCGTCTTATACACAATTACTAATATATTTGTTAATTGCCAGTGTTGTCAGCGGCAAAAAGTAGCTCAATCCAGTGTTAAAAATAGCAACAAAAATAGCTGAATTTGCTTGCTCTGCAAAAATAGCAACAACAACAAAAAAAAACAGCTAATATCAGCTAAAATATTCAAATGTTTTTGGCTGACAACTAAAAATAGCCAAATTTAGCTATAATTAAGCTGAGCTGACAACACTGGCTACTATAGACTCTATTTAAAACTAAGCGAACTGGTTGTGAAAGCCTGTGTGATAAACACTTTAGTTACTTATGCTTGCTAAGGTATATTATGGACGGTGGTGCTTCTGGTTACAATACGATAATCATCTTCCAGCTCATCGGCTGACTCCAGGGCCTGTCGCCGGCCAATGAAGTCACTCGATGCGCTGCGCCTGAATCAGCTGCAGAGCATATTGAAAAAGCCACGTCCTTTCTCCGAGCGCGGCGCCATCAACATAGGAACTTGATTCTTGTGCGTAACCTTTATCTATATAAAAATACAAATTATATATCAATATTGAATATTTTAGGCCCCCACAAACGCTTTTCGGATGCCCAAACAAATGTGTCGTTCGAACAAGTCAAGACTCAAGCGGTGTTCAAGTTGCAGTTGCATTAGGCACAACATGTTTGCTCGAACATGTTGCTGAGTCGATCTGTTCGAACTCGTTCTGTTCATCGGTTCTGGTGACTCGTTCAAACACGGCTTAGTTGGATACTCATTATTCAAGTTTGATGCAAATGAATTTATCTACTCACCGTGCATGGCATTTGCATCCAGGGCTCGCCATCGATTTGCATGGGAAATGTTTTCTTGGTCTTGATGATGACCTCGCTGCACTGAGCCAATCGGCGACCGGAAGCGCGCAGACCCGTTCGCACCTGACCCATGTGCAGGCAATTCTCTAGGCCAATTACCTCGATCAGACGATCCCCAAAATCTATCGAGATGAAAGACTCTCTTGTTCTATCTGTAGCAAATTCTTTGGATTATGTCACATACCCTGTATGGCCACGGATAGATCCACCGAATTAAAGCTGGTCGCTGAGAACTCCTTGTCGCTGGACTTGAGCTTCTTACTCTTGCCAAATGGTCCCGCACTCTTGCGTATGCGCTTCTGCGATAAGTGCTCGCCCCACAAGTTGGAGCCGCCATGTGTATAGGGTATATTAAGCAGGGCGACGCCCTGTAAGTGCGGCCCATTGGCCAGGTCCAAGGCAACGCCATCGCACTGCATCGCAAGCAAAATTGGTAAGTTTCTTGCATAATTTTGTTTGCCTAATTCAATGGGACACTTACCACAATCTCAATATTCTCGTGCAGGTTCTTGCAGGAGGCGGCAAATGTCTCGGACGTTGCATATTCGAAATACCAAAGTTTATTCTTCATGCGGCTGTTGAATTTATGCGGATTTTTCTCGCGCTCCAAATGAAACTTGACACAAATGGCGGCATCCTGCGGTTGGCAAAATAATCAACTCAATCAGTGCTTGCAGAAATTTTTAAACGAATTGCATTTTTGGTCACGTAGCGAAACCTTGACTTTGTGCACAGAGCTACATGTGATATGCAGTGGCAAATATCTATAGAGTGCGATGTATATATATAGTGACAAATTGGCCCTATCTTGGCCGTGATGTCATCAGCCATGTGAATCACGCCCTATCTACATATAGGACGACACGAAGCTCCTGGCAGCATTTTAATTTTTATGCATATTCGGCTAGCAAGTGAAATAGCTGGAGCTGTTGACGGCGGCGGCAGAAGTTGGCCAAGAGGTAAGCAATTGAGATGGGCGCGTGCTTAATTCGCGAGGCACGACCACGCAAAATGCACTGAAAAAAAGGCACAAGCACGCACAAAAACACTTTTTTTTATATAAATTGTTGTGGATGCAGATTCTTAAGCTTTTTGTCGAAACATTTAATTTAACAACCCATTTGATTGGGTTTCAGTCAATTTATAGGTCGATAGTTCTTGATATCGATAAAACGTGATCTGCTATATTCAGATATAATCCGTTATCTCTCGTGCATCATCATGTGCTTTCGTGCTTTATCTTGCCTTTATTTATCGTGCTTGTCAGTTGAGGCTTGGACTCTCACGAAAAAGCACAAGTTTGTCGTGCCGCGAAACTAAGCACGCGCTCCTCTCTAGTAAGAAATGTGGGAAGGTGGCAGGTGGCAGGTGACGGGGGCAGCTGTCCCAGTTTGGTTGCTCATACGACACGTTGCACATTTGTAGGCGCATTTATTATGCATGTCAGCACGCCAAAAGGTAAACCTAGGAGGAGAAGGAAGCAAGGGAGCAGGAGCGGAGAGGCGGAGGAGTGGAAACCATGCATGTGGTCTGCTACCCACTTTGGCATTTTCGTCTAAATTGTGGTTGTCGCTCGCACAAAGTAAATAAGATTAATTACAGCCCAGGCGCAAATTGAATTATCAAGCAGCGTGCGAGGTGCAGACGGGCAGAGGAAAGCTTTTAATTTAAAAGACGACCCAAAGTGTCAGCTTCCTTAAAATGATAATGATATTGATGCTAATGCTAATGCTGATGCTAATGCAGTTGCTAAAGCCAATGCATAAGGGCCTAAATAATTAGCTGACAACGACTTATTGGCCTGTTAGCCCGACCAAAAGGCTTGACAACTGCACGATGGACGTGTGCCGTATGTGGGCTATGAAATTTGTTGGCCAAAAGTAAGGGTCATATAAAATGGCACTTTAAGGACACAATGCCGGGACACGGAGAGAGGAGGGAATTTTAAAGAGACAGCTTTATCACAGCACGCATAAAACGCACATTGAATGCTATAAAAATGCGAGTATATAACAAGAGGAGGCTTCTGTTGCCTGGCATTTTGAGCTACCCGTGTTCGGGCCAAAAGCGCAACGCACACAATTTCGCCCCTTGACCCGCTCGCCCCACAAGCCTCAAACCCGCCGCACAAACACTCAACCTGCCCCATGCTGCTGTTGCTTCTCGTTGGCATTTTCATTAACAACGCACAAGTTCGCGCTTAACGTCAATTGTTGACGTTAAACCAAAGCGTCAGTGTGAAATACTTTTTCATGCCGCATTACCACCCGCGGCCCACACCCGCCCGTCTCCCGCCCACAGCTCACTCAAGCTTTAAGCTGGAAAAGCGGGCCAACTGCTTGGCACTTGAGCCAGCATTTCATATGGCATACATGCGCACATATGACAAGTTTGAGACTCCTCGAGATGCTAGGCCCAGGGCGGAGAGTGCCAAACGGCTTGGCCAAGCGGAGGCAATGCAAAATGAAGCCGACAAGCGAAATCCCAGCGGCAACGACACGCACAATAATAACAATACAATCGAAGGTAAAGGAAACCATTAGCGGAATACCCTGTAAGTGCCAAGCCAATTATTATTTAAAATTAAGAATATTCGCATTCACGGTCCATTCAAGCTATATATAGTTGTTGGGTATTTTTTGGCCTTGCCCGTGGCATATTTTGTGCTTCAAATTGTAGATATAACTTTTTCACCCATTTCCCGCCCGTTTTAAATTTCAATTCACCCGTACTATCTTGAAATCAACGTCTTAGCTTATATTTCACTTAAATACTTGCAAATAAGTTTAAACGCGACTTAAATAATATTTCATAAAGATGCTTGGGAGATGTATCTAAAGCTGAAAGTTCAACCAGAAAATCTCTGACCTCCATTTTCCACAAGAAGAGGTGGATTTTCCGAAATGTGTGAAAGACTCCTCACATAATATTATGGTTCGGGCCAAATTTGACTGATTTGAAAATAATTTTGCCAGATTTAGATGCCAAATTAATTTACACTATCAATTTACAATTTACACACGAGTTATGGGGGTGGGAAATGTAAACCTATGTCTATAGGGTATTTGAGGGTACCATTTTTCATGTGACATGGTATAAACAGTTTTATATACTTCAAGGTGCTGAGCCTTTATTTAAAGTCTCACTTAGAATGTAGCTAGTCAGGATTTGGGTAAAGCAGGAACTAAAGACAGTATAGACCGAGATTGTAGGGCAAAGTTAGGTAGAAGGGTTGCCGATTTCGATGACAAACGCTTTTTGGGACTTATCGACCCCATTAAGCAACAGGCCAGGCTATCTCATTGAACATTATACCCTAAGATTGTTACCTCAAAAACCTATCTGAACCTATCTGACATGCACGCATGCAGATTCTGTAAAGGGGAACAAGAGACATCAAAATACCCTGTAGACATAGACCTGAACAGATGAAGGACTCATTATAGTTCCTCTACGGGGTTAAAACAAATAACATAAGAAATGGGTTATATTAAATTGAAAAAGATTCGCAGCATAAACTAAATTTTAATTATATTCAACGATATGTTCTGTCAATTAGTAAGAACTATGCCGAGTCTTAGTCTATGAATGCCTCGAGTTCTTCTAATTTCGCTTGCCATGCATACCCCTTGCATGAATCTATTTCAAAGGGTATATAAATGTAACAACAAAATCGTCGACAGTTTGCTGTAGACGTCTACAGTTTAAACATACGCACATCAGGTCATAAATAAACTAAAAGCCACATACAGAAAGACACCCACACACACACACACACACACACACACACACACACACACACACACACACACACACACACACACACACACACACACACACACACACACACACACACACCCACACACACCACACCCACACACACGCACAACAGCACACACAACATTTGATGGCATCTTTTTGTAGTATTTTTATTTAGGCAAGGATTTTCTCTTCTACGTTTTTTTTTTTCGGGAATCTTAAACGCATGGCCTGCAATTGTGTGTGCTCATTGTGTATTAGGCTGATATTCAGTTACGTCTGTAGGGTTTGGGAGGGGGAGGGGGAGTTAGGGGGAGGGGCGGTCGGAGTGTGCTGAAATGTTTGCGCAAAAAGGATTTCAACTTTAGCCGCACTTGACAAATGGTGCAGCATTACAAAATACACACATGCCCCCCTACACACACACAAATAAAATCAGTAAACACTATCGCAGGACCTCGGCTCGGCGTAAACCCTGCCAAGTGCCGTGCTCCCTTGTGGGCGTGTTTCCATTTTGATTAGACGCAGGACACGACTCGCATTGCGCCTTGCTGATTTGTACAACATATCCGTTTTAGTAGTTGCCATTTCTTTAGTATTTTCTCGACCACCCGTTTTCCCTTTTCGGTTGGCATTCTTTTTTTTCGTGGTTTTTCACAGGACCTGTTCTGTCCTGTCCTGGCCGGCTGCCTGCGAATTAGCCACTTAACCTTTCTTTATGACCGCATTAAATCTTTGCCAGCTACTTAGTCGCACACATTCCCCCCTTCCCAAAAAAAAAAAAACGAAAAGAAAAGGCGTCTTTGATTTCCACTTTCGGGCCCGGAACCTGGCACATACTATCTTCATCTCCGGTTCGTGTTAAATTATTCAAAAGCCTTTAGCCAAAATAAAAGTTGGCGAATTACATCCTTTCGGCATCTGATACAGATTCTCGCACTCATTTGAATTTATTGCCTTGCCGTGTGTGTGTGTGGTGTGGTTTGGTGTTGGGCGTGTTTTATTTTTGGGGCAGCTTCTCAGTCAAATTGTCCCCGGGGCGCAATATGTTGCCTGTTGTCCCTCTTTAAGGGACAGTTGTCGGCAATTGTAATTAGAGCAAGTGCCTTCGGACTGTCGCTCATTAATTTAAATAGTGCATAGCTGGCGCATCTGTTAATGGTCACAGCTGACCCTTAGAATTTAGTGTATGTAGTCATTAGGCTCCAAATGGAGCTCTGCTGAGCCTTAGATGTTTATTGACTATTAGGCAAAAGTTATGTCTTACCCTACTACAATGGATTTCTGCAGTATTGCAGCAAAGTTGTGGAAAAAAGAGATCATCTTTGAATTATTCTGTAACTATTTTCTAGTCTCATTTAGATCTCCGGGTTGTGAACCTTTGCCTCAGCAAGTATTATTTGTATTTTTATTATGAGCTGTTCTTGCTTCTTAGCTGTTAACTATCCACCTTTCTTTCATAATTGAACTCTCCCTCGCGTAAAACAATACCACGCTTAAGATTTGAACTAAACTTTGTTAGAAAGCCGTGAAGCTTTGGCCATTGGCTTAGAAAATATATATAGGTCTCCCATACATTATCCTGGGATTTGAACCAGCATAATTCCTTTTCAGTTGATTTCACAGAAACTTAAGCTAGAATTTAATTTTTTTAAATGCATTGGCAGCTTGACTCTTGAATTAGATAATACCACACGTTCATACACTAGCCTGCGGTTTGAACCAGCATTTTCTCTTGTCAGTTACTGAATGCCACAAAAACTTTACCTAGAAACTGCGTTAGCTATGTCTTAGGCTAAAAGCTATCCACCTAACTTGTTAAAAAAGATCTGGCCTTTGTCTATACTACTAGACTGGGCTGGGATTTGAACCAGTGTTTTTTCTTGTTAGTTATCTGAATGATACAGAAACCTTACCAAGAAGTTGCAGTATAAGACATTGCTAGAAACTATCAACCTTTGACGACACACTAATACACAATACATACACTAGGATTCGAACCGGCGTTGTTCTTTGCAGTTGCCTGAATGATTAAGTCACTTGGGCGGCTCATTTAGTGAGGACTGCAACCCTAACCAGCATTAGGCCTCAAGCCCAATATTTGGCTCGTGGCTAACGTGTCTGCATTTGGAGTCCTTTGAGTTCGGTTCGTGCTAATGATTGCTGTGCTGTGCGAGTCCCAAGTGCATCGATGCATTTATGATGCAAATGAGCCTCTGATTGTGATTGTGTGCTTAACTCGACAGCTATTTGGTATTTCTGCTCTCTCTCTCTCTGTGTGTGTGTGTTTGGCAATCAACTTTGGCCACATTCGCAATTGCATGTGTTTGTGCAACACTTTTGCAATTGGGTCTAACTCGCCTGGCTGAGAATATGGAAATTTTTGTTGCCTGGTGCGATTTGTAATACCCTGTAAACAGGGAGCATGAGAGGCGTCTGTTTCTCTAGGTGAATTGGGCTATTCAAATAGCTACAGGGTATGCGTAAGACTAACACATTTTCTCTAGTTCTATGCTTTATTGCAGAACCATTGTTTGAGTTGGGATTCGTTTCATTTCAATTGCGCGGCTTATAAGTTTTACTCCAAGCGATTCGCGCGGAAATTTGCATTAGAAAGACCTGTGCTTTTCCAACCTTTCATTTGTGTGCTGCATTTGCCCCGAACACCCACCACAGCGGGCGGAAATGTGCGCCACTTCAGAAAATGCTGAATAAATGATTAAGTAAATGAATATCCATATGAATTATTGAGCAGACTATATTGACTTTATTTGAGAGCTGGCGCGAAATATTTTGGAACCAGTTTCGAGCTGAGTTTCTCTGTTTATTCTCTTTGTGATTTTTTCAGCGGAATTTATAAAGTTGTTGAATCAGCATAATTGAGCGGATCTTAGCTGCTTTATGTGAAAGTCTTTGGTTTATGCTTAAACAAGCGAAATCTCTACAAGCCCAAATAAAGCATTCGAAATCCCTTGAATGCACAATCAAAAAGAAAAAAAAAAACTAAATGCGCTCTGTCAAATGCAAAGCCCTTGCTCAGTGACAATTTGCCCTTCAACAATGAAAATGCTGGAAAAACAATGAAGAACAGTTTTAAGCGTGCAGCCGCAGTTTGAATACTCTTTGCCAAAAATATATATATATATGTATATTTATTTAGACAAAGGTCCTTTCTTATAAACCAATCTATTATCGACAGATTGTTTATGTGACTGCCTGCCTCTACACTCGATAATAATACTGTAAGACTTTTTCTTGGCAAGGGTATACAATAAACAGGCAATGCCCATTTGTATTTGCTGTCGTGCTGTTCCCTGACACTGCAACGAGATCTGTCCATGAGAGGACATTAGCCGCCGCACTAAATGCGGCTCTAACAGAATTGTTGACTGATTTACAAGCACACAAAACAGGAAGCCTGAACGGGGCTTGTGTAGGGCTAAATTGTACTCACCACGCCAACGGAGAAATAATTGTTGATAATGTTATAGGGCACGGTGCAGTCCTTGTCCGATTGCACTTTGATGGGCTTTTGCGGCATGTTGCTGCTGCTGTGCATTGCGCCGATTGCTGTCGTTGTTGTGGCTGTTGTTGCTGTTGCTGCTGAGGGTGTTGTGGGTGTAATGGGTGTGTTGGGTGTGTTGGGTGTGTTTGGTGTTTGTGGCGTGCTGGGCACTTGGCGTTGCATGTCCTGTTGTTGTTGCTCATCTTTGTTGTTGTTGTTGTTGTTGCTGCTGCTGCTGTCGGACAAATCCAACGACAATGTAATTTGCTGCTTAACGTTGTTGCACTGCTGCTTATTGCTCTGACTATTATGCTCATCGCTTTGATTGTGCTCAAATGCGACAGCTTCCGTTGCCGCCTCCGCAACTGCTGCAGCAGCTGCTGCTGTTTCCGCTGCCAACTTTAGCTGCTGTTGCTTATGCTGCAGCAGCAGCATCTCGAGCGATTGCTTCTCAGTTGCGTCTGTTCGAGTTGGCGGTAGTTGCATGCTGGCCACCTCCGGCTGGCTGTGACACGTTGTGGCAGCCAGCTCGGGCTGGTTGCTGGTGTTGATGCTGCCACTTGAGCTGCTCGTGTTGCTGGCCCCGCTGCTGCTGCTGCTGCCGCTCATTGTGGCAGTTAATGTTTTCTGCATGCGTCGCGTTTCGAATGTGGACATTGAAATGCTCTTGGTGGTTGTGCTGGTGCGGTCGCCAGCTTCAGCTTCAGCTGCAATCGCACTCCCTTGTCCGTGTCCCTTTGCCAGTGTCCTTGTCATATCCTGCGAGTATTCTGTCCTCGTTGTTGTCGTTGTGGCCATCATAATCGATGTGGCAGACGCAGCCGCAGTTGGCGCCGCCTGTTTGCCAGCTGACATGTTGTCGGCGCTGCAGCTGCTGCTCATGAGGTTTTGCCGCTGGATTTCCTCGAAACGTTCGATCAGCGATTTGTCGACCACAACGCTTTGCGACAATTCAATCACCTTCTGCATGTTTGAGTGCAGAGTTACCTGCAAATAGTCGAAGACACACACACACACAGTTAGTCAGGCTGCAGCCAAATTTGGTTTGTGCGTAATCGGTTTTCGGTTTCAACTCGACTGGGCTGGCCCAAACCGCAAACATGAAGGTTCAAACTACAGGCTACGAAAACTGTGCACGATAATTGCATTTTTCTGGCTGTGCTTCGGTCTGCTTGGCAACTTTTCTCTTTACATACAACAACAGGGCTGCCAAATGTTTCTGAGGCGAACCGATTCGCAAACGGATTCCCTGTTTAGTTTTCAATTGAATTGTTTCGTTAAAAGAATGTTTTGGAAGGGTTATTGCATGAATCGAACTAGCGACTTTTCTTTGCGATTTTCAGCCCTGGCTTTAAATTGAACCAGGGATTTCTTTTTCGGGCTTACAGCCCTGGTTATCAGTTTATCAGTTGTGCATAAGGCAGTAAATCAGTTCGTACTATGATTCGAACCAGCGACTTTTATTTGGTTTGGTTATGGTTCTTAAGGCGAGGAGTCGGTGCGAACCAGACTAGCTTTTTTGGTTTTACAGTCCTGGTTGTCAGTTTGTCAGTTGCATGCAAGGGAGTTTATTCGAAATGTTAATTGAACCAGCGACTTTCTTTCGGTATGTAGCCTTGGTTGTCAGTTGGGCACGGAATTGGTTCGAACTCAGAATTCAGCTAGCGACGTTTTTGGGTATAAAGCCCTGCTTGTCGGTTTTAATGCAGGAAATTTCTTGACGCTGTTAGTTGAACCAGTGACTTCTTTTTAGGGTTTGCACTCCTAGTTGTCAGTTAATCAATCGTATATGTATGAAGCATAAAATTTCTTTAGCTTAAAGTCACAAACAAAACAAAAAAAATAACTTTCCTGCAGCATTTATAATTAGTTCTTAATTTTCTACGCGAATCGCTCACCTTTGGGCGCAGCTCTTCAACTGTTAATGGCGTGTTGGTTACCTCGATGCTCCATCGATCCAGCATTACGGTGGAGGCGCGTTTAATTTTGTCCATTAGTTTGGGTATATTTTCGCCTTCATAGCCGCCGCCCCAGCGCAGGCAACGGGCCAAATCGTTGCCAGTTCCTAAAGGTATTACCCCAATGGCGGGCTGTGTGGCCAGCTCGATGGTGTCTGTGGATGTGGCATGGTTATAAAATTTACTGCCATTTTGATGTTGCTGCTGCAGTTGCTTACCCATGGCCTCGAGCACCCAGCCGACGGTGCCGTCGCCGCCGCAGCAGATGACTTTGAAGTTGGGCAGGTCCTTAAAGAGCGTAAGTCCTGCCAAAAAAATAAAGAATTTGCATTTAATGCGAACTTGTGAGCAAAAACAAGACGCTCAACGCACCTTCCTTGGGCCCGCCCTTGGACAGATCGTACACCTGCCTGGGATTGAGCATATATTGAAACTTGCGCAATATGCGATCGCCCTGGCGACCTCCGCTCTTCGGATTGACAAACACCAGCAGCGGGCAGCTCAGCTCATCCGGCGGTGTTATTTGAAAATGAGTTGCCTGGTGATGATGATGATGAATATGTGATTTCTATAGAAGGTTTCGTTTTGTTTTGTTGCAATTGGGTCAATTTTGATGGGCAGGGTGCGTGTTTGTTTTCATGGTTTGGTAGCAGAGACAAGCAAATACAAGTTACAGCAAGCGGCGTGCGTATTTGGATTTGGAAATGGATTAGTAGAATTTTGCCAATTATTTGGATGGACAGTTGCGTCAGAATTCAATTTGTACACAGAAATCCAACTCACTTTGTGCGCCTGATTAACCGAACGCTGGCGATCCAATACGGCGGGACAGATGGCAGTCGGTGGCACAATCAGTTCCGCATATTCGCCCAGTGTGCACTCCTTCTTCACGGACGAGGCGCAGCGATTATGCAGCTAGAGAAGGCGAGACATAGAGAGAGAGTGAGAGGGGGGGAGAGAGAGAGAGAGAGAGAGAGAAAGGAAGATATGAAGGAGCAGAGTTTAAGAGCTTTTCTATCAAATTAGCCAAAGACCTAAAGCCCAAAAATCTGACTCATAAAAACTTAGCGCTCTTTAATTCAATTTATACTTCGCGGCCCAAGCTGGCCGGGCAGGCCGGGCGTATACGTATTTATTTGACGAGCCCAACGCACGCTCGCTTAAGCGCTTTAATTGAATCCGATTAAATGTTTGTTAGCGCCTGCCCCAAAAAAATTGTTAAATGAGATTAAAGCGCGGTCTTTTTGTGCTGCTCATTTGGATATATCCTTTAGAGGGTATTACGAACTTGTGCTGAAATGTGTAACGCATCGAAGGGAACATCTCCAAAAATATATTCTAAATATATATATTCTTTCCGTCTATCCATCTGTCTTATTCTATGTGAACTAGTCTCTCAGTCTTATCTTCTTGAATCTTTGCATGGGTCCGTCTTTCTGCTGCAGGCAGTAGATATGTCGGATCCGAGTGGGTGGGACCACTATATCATATAGCTGTCATAGCAACAATCGCTCGAAAAGAAAGCTCTTGTGTGGAAAACTTAGTTGTCTATCAGGAAATCTTGATTCAATTCGGCATTTATAAGTTTTACTATGCTCTCTACATATAGGAAGAGTTCTATCAAGATCGCACTATTATATCATATACCTGCAGCATTTATAAGCTTAACTATTCTCACATGTCCACATAAGGCAATTATCTGCAAGGGTATTAAAAATGCGGCGTATTCTCGTTTTTTTTTAATTTTGGTTTCTCATATATTTCGAAGACTAGCTACTTCTCTTTTTCTGGTGCCATAATCATTAAAGTGAGCAACGTAATTTTTGTGGCACATATGAAGTTTGCTGCCACACGTTGCACACTAAATGCTGGCAAAATGCGAATGCAAATACGAAAAGCATTCCTGATGTTATCAGAGAAAGCAGGATAGAGAGAGAGAGAGAGGGAGACAAATCTGGTGCAAGCTCCTGTGGCAAGTTTGTGGCACTGCTCAGCAATTATTGACTGTTGCCGCTGCTGGCAACATTTAGCTTACGAAATATTTACAATTGCAGCATTTGAGAGCAAAGTTTCTTGGAGCTTGCAGCTTCTATTGCTGTTGTCTCTGCTGCTGAGATAACGAATTCAGAATTATCTCGACGGCTGCACTTGTCAAAGTCGAGTCTAGACAAAGTTGTTTCTGGCTCTGGCAGCACACGAGGCGGCGTCGATAAAGCTGCTGTGTGTGTGTGTGTGTGGCACAGCCACGGGCGCTGTGGCATGCAGCAGCATAATTTCTTTGAGACGTGACAATTCGGTAGACATAACGAAGCCAAAAACTGAACCGAGTGCAACACAAATTTACAGCTGCAAATGTGTGTGCTGGTTAAAATCACATCCGCTTAACAAGTACTTGCTTGTGTCAAAACAAATAGCAGCTATCGACAGAGACCTGGCACTGAGTGGCAGACGCTGTGGCTTGTGTTGATCAAAATAATTGAAATACTCGGTATTCGGAGACAAAAATGCCGGGCTTGTGCACACACTGGAATGTCGCAGTCCCGCAAGTCGGTAACTGTCTTGTTAAATAAATGCTTTGAAGTAGAAAAAATGCCAGCAGCAACACTTGGTTGTCGGTTCCCATCCGATAACAATGCCAACAATTTTACTTTACTTTACTTCTTTCGCTTATTTTAAATATGTGAAATGCAACTTTGATTCGACTCGATACACTTTCAGTCCAAACTAAAACTAGAAGAAACTACAGCCTGGTTAAGTGAAGTATGATGAAATGCTAGGGATTAATATCACATATTTTTGAACGTTTCAACGTTTCGCATATTTTCACATAATCAGCAAATACTTGCAAGCGTTTGCTGATATATATCTGTGCATGATATTAATGTGCTTGAGACTTACCATCATATGACACCAGCGACAGGTGAGTCCTGTGATGCCATGGTATGCCTTAATGCGTTTGCGGCACTTTGAGCAGCGACCGTAGCAGTTGCCCTCGACCCAATGATGCAACAGATCTGCGCCGCATTTCGGCTTCTTCGATTTCACGTAGGTGGTGATGCAAGAGGCTGGCGCATGTTGCACGCATCGCTCATGCACCGTATATTTGCAAACTAAACACACCAGATAATTGAAATAGGTATAAAATATTTAATTTAAAAAAATATGTGCAACAATGTGAGAAACCATATTATTAGCTTCTGATGACTTTTGATATTAAAAGATAAGCATATAAATGTAATTTCCGATACGGTTGATGGCATCAAGAGCAGCCATTTATGTGCATGAAGCATTTATTTACACGCTCGATACTTACGGACACAGCAGAGTCCTTTCTTGCCAAGGCCGACTAACATATTTAGGCAGAGATTGCAGTACGCCGGCTTGCTAAAGTGCTTCAGGCGCCACACGTGTATGCCATCCTCCTTGAGTGTGGTGCTGTCGACGCCTGCAATGCACAGACAGACAAGGGGGAAGAGACGAGCGGGTAAGGAGGTTACAGAGTTGATATATCATTGGAGCCAGCATAAAACACAGAGCCTGGCACTTTTGCATACGTGCAGCATGCAAAAATGCCCACGCTTACTTATATTCTCCCTAGCTTTATTTTTCTTTCTACCCATCTGTTTTTCTTTCTCTATTTTTTGACTGTGTGTACCTGGTGCAAATGACTTGATTATTGAGGCAGCCAATGCAGGCAGAAAGGCGACAGACTGACAGACAGGAATTGAGGCGGTGAGGCGGTAAATGCATTGAAAGCTTCACAGCCACTTGGCTGTAGTAGTTCACACTCACCGAGTAGGACGAGAAGCGGTATGGTTGTCATGCCGCCACGTTGCCACTCATCCAAGGACACCGTGCCATCGGCGTCATAGTCAATTTCAACCATCATATCTTGCAGTATCTGTAAGGTAAAAAAGATTGTGTAGAGCGTGTGAAAAATGGCTGTGGGTAGAATCGTCTGTAAGACTTCCTGATTGACGTTCTGTGGCCGCCAAAGCGGAGAGTGCAGAGGTAATTTAACCCAGGTGATTTTATCCAGAAGCGCCTCTGACTTTCGCCTTTTGACTTTGACTGCAGCTGCAGGCTGTGCTCGTGGAAAGTCAGCAGCATGTAACCCAAATACGATTGTCTGCTCAAAAGTACGCATAAAATGTATTACCACGAATTTTGCGTTTGTTCGTATATTGTGGTTTTTCTTAGAATTCTGTAAGTGCTTTTCTGTTGCTTGCTATCAAGAATATCTATACCATAATACAATAAAATGCACTGCAGACAATAATTGTGCAATGCGGCGTATGCGCGATATCAATAGTATACTTGAGTTGACCCTACACAAATCACCGGATATTAAAGTGTGGCCATCTTGCAGTGCCATATCATTTAGTTTTTGTCTGTCTCTGACTGGCCATGACTATTTGCATATGACTCTTTTATTGCGGCACATAAATTTAAGAAACAGCTTACGCTTTGTGTTTATGTTACTCGAAATAACCTTGGCTAAATTAAGCAGATATTTATTGATGTTTTTTTTTATTATAATTGGGCAGAATTGCGTGTATTGTTTCGGTAAATCACCTGCATAAATATATTGTAGCATACTTATGTGCTGAGCTGAACAAGTAAAGCTACAAATTTCACTGCATACTTTCGGGAAATATTGCTGTTACTGGCGGTAGCTATATGGGCTCATCAAAGAATTCAGGGCTTGTAAAAAACAGAAAATCCTTGATATATCGTAAGCTTGCTGATTAACAAAGACATCTTGATTTCAATGTGATTCAACGGACGCAAGCTAGGCCAGTCAATCGGGCATTGCTGCTGGGCAAACACGAGCGCCTTAAGTATTTGTTCTGTAAGTTTTTAATGGGAATTGCCAATTGCTTCTGTATATATTAGGTTTGCTTGGCTTTGCTTTTGCCTCAATACGAAATCAAAGAGGAGCTTTTCCAGGAATCAATTCACTGCGCCCAGACTAATGTTCAATATCCGGTAGCATTCGTAATGCGGCCAATCACTTTAATGTCCTGTTTGCCGTTGCTTCAAACGAAAAATGCTGGCAAACTTTTAAATTTGTATACTGTACAAGTTTTTCTTGTTTTGTAGCATTCGCCTTTTTGAAATTCATAAGGCTACAGAATTTATGAGGCATCCCTTACGTTTTTTGGACTTTCGTTTGCTGTTTTTAACCGGAAATAAATTTCAGAATTATGCAATTCATTAAGGGGTTTTGATTATTTCTGCTTTCAGTTGTGGCTGTGCCTGGGCCAACTCCTTTTCATTTTTCTTAAACAACCCACCCACCACCCCACCAAGGGTGCGGGGAGGGGCACGAAAGAATTTTGATTAAAATATTTTCTGTATCTGCTTAGAATTTAAAGTATGTAGCTCCCTCACGCGCAGTCTAGCTGTATCCATAAACTCATCATGGAAATGGAAATGCTGCCTTATCCATAGCGTGCCCCGCTCTCCTTGTCCCCCGCCACCGTGCTGTGCTGGTCGTCGCCTTCATAGCCCGGGGGTATTTTGTTAATTGAGTTTTGTGACGCTTTGACTTTATTTGTGGTCGCCAAATGGTTACCAACAATTTTTCTTCTTTGTCCTCGTTTTTCAAGTTCTTCGACAAGTTGAGCGATTACTTAAAGGCTATTTCATTTTTACCATGTCTTATGCGCCCTCAACTAGATATAAACGGAATGTGCACAAGGGCACACGGGCATATGATAGTCGGCCGTTTCGACTCGACTCGACTCGACTCGACTATTATGACCCAACTGGTTGTTGCCATGGTTTTTTACTTTTTCCATTTGTTTTTGTGGAAACTATTAAGTCTGTTCAGCTAGCGGTTGAGACTAACGAACGAATGACTAGGTACTCGAAATCGTAAGACAATAAAATGAAATTAATTTCGAGTGCTTTTCGTTCGCCTTCCGGCACCAAAATGCTCGTAATAGTAATTGAAAAAGTATTGGTTAGCCACAGTACTATCGGTTATTGAGAAAAGCAATCACTGCGATTGATGATTGACGACCTCCCGTATTTCTGTGTGTGTAATAAGCCGAATTGTTCGGGCATTGATTGTAGTAATGATTTTTAAATGCCAAAGCGTTTAAGCTGCACTTAAAAATTGTGTATGTCAACTTAAAACACTCACCGGACGCAGCTCACTGACATCCCAGCCAAGATATTCGGCAACGGCCATCATCTGATTAACAATGGCATCCATTTCGGCGGTGTCCAGTACGCCATTACTGTCCGTATCGTATAGCCGGAACATGACTATTGTGAATAAATGATTGAAAGAGTGAACGGAATGTATGAAACAAAAAGAGGTCAAGTGCATCATGCTGCGTCACAATTTCACTTACATTCGAGCTTGTCCTCCGGCCGGCCGGCCTCAAGCAGTGATAAATAGCAAACGACATCCTTCAGCGGGACCTTAAGTGTCAAAGGATCAAAGTGCGAGAGTTTTCGTGTCAGCAGCTTAATGTCAGCTGCAAGTAAGCGAGCAATGTGTTCAAGATTAAAGTGCATTCTTCAACTCCTGAAAAGCCCAAGCTGATATAATTAATTATTTTACGTTTCCGGCTTAAAGTTTTGTTTTACGTGAAGTGAACCTTAAAACAACCGAAATCCGAACTGTGCCATATTTCTTTAAAGAATGGTTATGAAAAAAGTTAATGAAGACTCGGGAATAAATAACTTGGTCCCCAACTATTGAATATATCCCATTTTGGATAGATATTGCTTTTAGCTTGCAACTTCTCTATGAAAATGTCTGCGGCTTGCAATAATTTGTCGCAGGAAACTAGGTGATTCGTATAGCTTAGTGTGGCTTTAAGAATGGTTTGATTTGGGCGCATGAACCGAAACTCAAGGCAGGAAGCTGGTTCGAACCGAAGCCGCCCTGATTGAGTGTAGTTAATAAGTTGCCGGCAATATTCGCACTGAAAGCTTTCATGTGCTTTCTCAGCTATTTTTGCTGCGATTTTACTGTTGTTGTTGTTGCAGTTGCTGTTGTTGTTGTTGTTGCAGTTGCCGCTGTTGCAGTTGTCATTGATTGAGTGCCGGGCTGTTTATTGTTGCTGCCGTTGGCTATTGTTGCATGGTATCGTTGCAGCTGCAATTGACAGCTGCCTGTGTAAAGTTGGTCCTTGTTTGCTTTTCACTTTGACACTCATTATGCTTAATGTTGATTGCCACAATTTGACCCAAGAGCTTTTCAACTTTGCCATTTTGCTTTTAATAAACTTGCGACACAGAGCGAGCGAGAAACTGAGAGAGGGAGAGTGGGAGAGGGCTGAGAGAGGCAGAGCGCGTGGTTGGAATAACATTTTTTTTTCATTTGGCAATTTTGCAATTTAACGCCAGTTCGCCAGAAACAAACCCAATCAAAATTTTCATCCAACTCTCATTAATGCGATCCTATGACCCAAACTTTGTTCATCATAACGAAAACCTCCACACACACGCACATACACACATACACTCGCATATAGCTGCCCCTAATTCCAGAGAATTTGTTTAGTATTCATTTATTTTTGAGTGCTTCTCTAGAGAATGTTGCTAATGACATTAATATCGATTTTCACAGCAACCCAAAGACATCTTTGAAACATCTCAGCTTTCACCATATTTTTCTTATTTTCGTTATTTTTTTTTGTGCCCGCTTTAAATACTTAACTAATTTAACAGCTGATACATTAGCAGGAGATACTCATAAGTAATACGAACACTTTGAGTCCTGTTAATTGGCTTAAGGCAATTCTAAGCGTGTTGGCTTACATTCTACTTAATTATTATGCTGGCCCTGTCGTGAGAGCGTCCTCTTATTGTGCCGCCATTTCAGCTAATTATGTTTACATTTCTATGAATATAGCGACTAGTTGCCAATAAATTAAAATATATATATAGATATGTGCGTCGACTGCAGCTAAAACATTGGATAATATTTACATTTTGGATATCAATAACTAAATGAGACGCACGCACGCACCCTCGAGTGGCTATTGTCTTTAGCTAGGGCAAACAGTTTGAGCTTGATGAATGCCTAAATTATAAACACCACTTATATATTTGCTATAAATAAATATATGTATATGTATAGATGAAGAAAATAACCATCCGGGTCAAAGAAACGCGTGACAATGAATATATATGAGAGCATTGCAGTAGAACTGGTCACCTCTCGTTTGTTGGTCCGTTGGCTCTGACACCTTAATCACAATTGCAAAGTCATGTTTGTAAATTTCCACCCACAAGTGTGGAAAAAATGCGAAACAAGTGAGAATGAAACTTTGTTGTTGACCATTCGATTGGCCCTAAACACATTTTCAAAGAGTTCAAAAAAGTACAGGTAGATGTAAGTTGTCCACAGGCGGGAAGTGGACATACACAAATACTATATATTTATATATGTATATGTATATGTGATCAATGTCAATGCATTTTGTTCAACTAATGCAATTTACTAAGCTCCCAGCGAAATAATATCCACGAATAGATCTATATCTATATAAAGTGCCCCCGCATCTAAAAAGGAAAACCAAAGCAAAACTAATCCAATTAGCGCTTACAGCACCCACACACACACACACACAGGAAGCCTATACCATGTTTTACTTACTTAATATATAATGCTAATAGCAATGTCTCCCACACCAAAAAAAAAAATAAAGAAGAGCCTGGTACTGTGCTCTCATTATTTGTTATTTGCCTTTAGCCGAACAGGAACAGGACAAAGGACCAGAAAAAATGCCCCACAATTGCTGCTAAAATGCGTGAAACGACAGGCCCGAACAAAACGACAGCGCGAAACAAAGGAAACAAAAAAAAAAAAATGTGAGAAAAGGAAGGAAAAACGAAAAAAAAATACGAAATGAAATTTACGTTCATTAATCATTCGTGCACATTTCAAACGAAGCGAAATGAATGAAAGCAAATGGCGAATGGCGAATGGGGAATGGGGAATGGGGAATGGCCACTGGAGAAGCAGAAGCAGTGGCGACAAAGGGCAGAAGCTGCAGTAAGCCAAGCCAGACAAATAACTTTTCGCAGCATACTTTTAGGCCGTTCTATGAGTGTGTGTGTGTGCGCGGAATGAATGTTAATTTTACGCATTGGCGCGGCGCACTTCGTGGAAAATGCAAAAATGTTCTAATTGGGCGTTGATTTACGACTTGATCTGAGACAATGGCCTTGTTTGCCTCTGCTTAAGCTGCTTTTGCTTACCTTTAATACCCTGTAAATGCTCATTTGGGCATGTGGCATGCACAACCAACTAAACTAACTTTATATTGAACCTAAAGGGTATCTCGTGATAACACAGCTACCATATTTCCTTGCATACCCCATAATCACTCGTTTAGGCATGCGGCATGCAAGACCAATTAAGCTAACTTGGAAACGTGAATACTTTTTAAATAACGAATAGCTATTAGAGCGTATCACGTGTCTAGAAAGCTGCCAGCTTACCTAATATACCCTGTGATTGTGCATTTTCCCATGTGGTATGCACGTCTAATCATAATAAATCGGCAAATGGTCTGCACTTCGTTTAATGAATAGCTCTTACAGGGTATCTTGTGATAAGGCAGCTATCATTTGAGCATTTCCGCTTGTTTTTCTATGCCCGGCACTTCCGCTTCCGGTTGCGTTTCCTTTAGACCTTTGCGTTTAGACCTTTGCCTTTAGACCTTGTTGTCGTTGTGCCTTTTCACTTTTCAGTTACGGTATTTGCCATTTTTACACAATTTATGAACTTTTGCACTTGTGAATTAGCGCAGCGGATTTATGCTTAGCTCCTACAGCTAATTAGTGAGTTCACCCAAAGTTTTGGGCTGAGTTCAAGTAAGTAGAAGAATTGGGTGGGGGCAGGGGCAGTTGCTAATTGCACAATCCACAGTGTCTGGCATTATGTAGCTGCCCCCCCCCGCAGCGCGTGTTGCACTTGCCCTTTGCACCCGAGCCACTCATTTATTATGCGCGTGCTGTGTGGCAAATTCCAGGCAATTTTGCATCTGAATTGGTTGTCGTGAGTCGCTCTGTCAGTCTGTCTGTCTTGTTGTCTGTCCGCCTGTCCGTCTGTCTGTCTGTCGCCAAGGCAATCAGTTTGCAAGCGACACGCGCAATGCTGACAGTTGCAAATGCTCGCACAGCTGCAATTGAAATTCCCAAGGCGCAAACGGCATATGCACATCTATGTAAATATGTATATTTGTCTATATATATATGTGTATATATACTTAGCCCTATTGAGCAGCTACGCCCACATCGTGTGGCAAGTTGGCTAATTGCAGTTGACTTGCCTCTGGACGGGGGCTGCACAATGGGCGCTTAATTGAAAGTCAAACTCAAACTGCAACCCAAAACGGGGCTGGGCCATTGGCCCATTGTAATTTCCTCATGTCGCCCCATCCCCTGCTCCCCCCCGTTCACCCAACGAGTCGACTCGGAATCTAATTAATACTTACTATCAATTTTGCAATTAACGGAATTGTTGCTCTTCTTCGACGAATTGCGCGACATTTGCGAGTGGTTCGTCTGCGAGTGCGAGGGGCTGGAGTCCACAGAGCGGCGGGCCGCACTGCTGCCCTGGAACATGCTCGGGCCACTGGCCAGCGGGCTGGGTGTAACCGTTAGCATGGGATGCACGCTGCCTGTAAAGCACACACAAGAAACGTTAAGAAGAAGCAGCACAAAATTAAAAAGTTCAAATAAATTCCAGTATACAATTTCATCCATTTCTTTAAAATACAAAAGAAATGGCGAAAGTAGTGCGAATTCGATTTGCGGAATTAGATAAGGCGAATACAAGGAACTTTCACTCAAGAAAAAACCAAAAATTAAATGTTGAAATTATGGTGAATATGATTTCTGGAATTGAATAGTTAAGCACATGCATTCCACTAAGGGATTTCAATTTTGTTCCAGTTCTTTCATTTCAATTAAGAAAAAGAATTATGTTTAATTAATGCTGCAATAGGATTTCGGAAATTGAATAATTAAATACATGCATTTTACATTGCCACAAAATAAATGGCGGAATTCGAGTTAATATGATTTGTCGAATTAAATAACTAAACATATGCATTCCACAAGGCAAATTCAAGGAAAGTTTCAAGAAAACTACAGAAAAAATGCGGAAATTGCGGTGAATAGGATTTCGGGAATAGGATAGTTAAATGCATGCATTTTGCATTTGATTTCAACGAAATTTTATCAAGCAAAGCCACAAAATAAATGGCGCTATTGAGGTGAATATGATTTTTGGACTTAGATAGCTAAACACATGCATTCCACAATGCGAATCCAACGCACACACACACAGACACACACACACACTAACTTACCGGTCTTGCTGGGATCGTGCGTCAAATGGCCGCCAAGTGAGTGCTGTAACTTATCCGTAATACCATGGATTTTGTCCACAAAGCTGGTGCGTGCCTGGGCCGGGCCATCGCCGACGCCGCCGACGCCAATGCTGCATTGCGGCATCAGTTCAGCAATGCTGTTGATGTTCGGTATGGAGCCTAATTACAACGGAAATCGGCCCGTCGAGCAGGCCACGAGTGCCAGTGAGAAATGTGTTGCAATTATTAAACAGAGTCTCGTGCGCCAAGTCCACAGTCCATGTCCATGTGCCGGGCAATGGATATGGATATGGCTATAGCAATGCGGTAGGGGACAGATGGTGGAGTATGGGAGAGGGGGGTGGTGGACTTACCCTTCGTATGGGACGTGACAGGCGCACAGGCGGCCGTGCTGCTAATGGCTGCCATTTGATTGAGCGCCTTGCCATGCAGCTGGGCCTGGGTGACATTCGGCTTAAGAAAGGACACAAACAAATGCTTGGCCAGATCCAGCGGCGTTTCGCAGTCGAGGAACGCATCCAAAAACCGTCGAAAGCCATCAAAGTCAATGTCCTGCACAAAAAAAATAGCAAAAAGGCCAGAACGTTAAATTTCGGTTAAAGTCAAAGAAAAAAAAATAAAAATAAATAAGTTCAGACTTTAAATTGGGCTCTGCGGAGTTTGCTGCCGGAATTTATAATTATTTCATATGTATTTCATCTGATTTACACACGCACAGAAAACGGTTATATAATTCTCAGTGATTTCGGGCGGCTCGCGTTGTACGTGACTGTAAATGGCCTCTGAGGATCTGGAAAAGTTTTTTATGAATGCACAAAACAGGCCACAATGGCGCTTGTGTGGGGAAGTGTGCGACATTGGAGCCATAAGTCCTTGGCGAATTATATGCCAACAGCACGTGTAGCTACGCACTGTCAATTCAATGACGCAACGACATTGATGGACGCATTGATATGATGACATTGATAGACACACCGTTGGGTCCAGATGCACAGAGAACAGTATTGTGTAAACATAAATGTTTGTCTCCCGCTCCTACTCGCTGCCCAGCAACCGGTTACGGTTACCACTTAATCAAGGACGAGACATTATGCAAAAAGACATAACGCGTGTCCAGTGCCCGGGCAGCAACCACTAATTGGAAAATGAGCGAAAGAAGCGTAAAGCCTTGGATATATATTAGACGGCGAGGGGATGCTCTTTATCCATACAAATCTGAACTTATTTGAAAATTGAGACATTTACTGATCTCTGGCTGAGCGTCGAACCAACAAGCGAGAGTTTGCTGGTTCAAATTCAACAGAAATTGACAATAATTAGAATAGAATGGAAGAGAAACATAAAATAAATGTGGATAACTTTGGCATACTGAGCACGAAGCTTAGAGATCTAGCCCCTGCGTGAAGACATACTGTCAGCATTACATCTACATCAGTAATTCGAGCCGAGCAACGCCGGTTTATTTGTTCTAACATACAGCTAATATGCTCGTCCATTCCCCATGGGCATATAGTGTATGCGATGTAACGCTTTAGAGAAACGCAACATTATCATTATTATCATCATTTTAATGAGCCGCACACACAATCGACTGCAGCCCAGTGCGGCGCTTGCTGTGGTTGGTTTTAAATTTCGAGCATAAAACAAAATATATGACAGCCGACCACATTAAGAATGTGCCGGGGGTTTGAGTTTAACTTGGCTCTCTATGCCCTGGCCAGTGGCATGGGCCCTAATGAAACAGAATACAGGCAAATGGAAATTTATACGCTGGCCAAAGCAAAAACAAAAGTGCCTGGCCAAATGGCTTAAAGTGTGGGCCAGCAAAACACGCAGCAACAGCCAGAGTAAAGGCATAATGTACACACACACATACCCTTGGCTGGCACTATAATAACGGCACGCGAATTGCGTTAACAAAATTTATTTAGCAAGCAACGAGATACGCGTGCGAAAGCAGCAGCAGCAGCAGCAGCAGCGGCAGCGGCCTCTTCAGTCTCCGCTTGCTGAGAGCCTAAAACTCCGCTCGAGCCCCTAGTTTAATGTTGGTGTCAGCAGTTGTGTGCATGTGTGTGTGTGTGTGTGTGTGTGTGTGTGTGTGTGTGTGTGTGTGTGTGTGTGTGTGTGTGTGTGTGTGTGTGTGTGTGTGTGTGTGTGTGTGTGTGTGTGTGTGCGTGCGTGTGTGCGTCGCTATGCGTGAGCGCGCGGTTTAATGAATAAATATTCAAGCATATTGGCGGCGCACAGTGCGTATGCGTGATATCCATTACAGTCACACACAAACACACACACACACACACACAGAGACACAATCACATGCCTGGGCGCTGATAATCACACGAGCATGTCGCACTTTAGCCACCATTTAGCCCTGTTTATCACACTCGAGCAGCCCGGCAACGACAACGGGCATATAATCTGCGCTACGCATTCACTCATGTATTGCATACTTTTCGGGTTGAGAGTCAATGCGTAAATTATGCATACGCAGCGTTGTCGCTGCCAAGGCCAAAGCTTGGCAAATCACATTTAAGGCCAAATAATTAACTATTGGCCCAGCTGCTGCATGTGCACTAAAATGTTGTGCATGCAGCGCATATGTGTGTGCATGCAGCGCATGTTCGTGTGCATGCAACGCATGTGTCTGCATGCGTGCTTAGGTGTATGCGTGCTTATGCAGCTGACATTCGGGCTTTGGCATGACAGGAACTTAGCATATGTGCGCAATGCGACTGCAGAGAATTACTCAACCGAAATAATGAACAATAGTTAAGTCGCCTTGGGCTTAGTTCAAGTCAAGAACAGCTTAACAGCTGAGGGGATATGCGCTTGGTTTAAGCCATAATTCCGGCAACAAACAAAGGCATGTAAACATTTTGGTTGAGCAGCTCGACTCGGCTGTTAAATTTGTCCCCACACAAGCAGCTCGGTTAACAATTAAGCACAGCGCAGCAAAGTCGTATAATTAAGACAAAACAATGCTGAGCCAATAATTTATGAGAATTGGCAAGGGCAAAGTTTCAAGTTCGTTGCAGATTCCTAACCAGAATGCGTAGGCCTTCGGCTAATTGTAAAATGTAGAGCATTTTGTCAAGCATAATTCAATCGGCAAAGCCAATCGCTGCGAGAGCTGAAGACGAGTCACTTCAACAGTTTCCAGCAGCTGCTTTTAATTAACTTAATTGAAGTGTCGTAGCTGAAAGTTGTTGCAGACAGGCGCTGCCTCTAAAAACAGAACCTCAAGCGCGCCATTGCGTGGCGACCAGGCGACAAGTAAGCAGCTTTTAATAGGAAATAAATTATATATATATGTGTGTGTGAGTATGGGTGGAGACAGTCTCGAGGGTTATATATACGTATATGTGACTTTTTATAGTGACTGCTTCAATTTAAAGCGTAAGCCATCTCTAAGCCAAATGCTCTTTTATTTCCACCCAGGCTTCCCATATATATATATATATATATGTATACAGCAGCACCACCATAAACCGGCTACACTCGACTTGCTCTTGCCGATAGGGTGCATAAAATATAGAGTACTTTCCTATTTTTCGCTGGCAACGGCTGGCACGTAACCAGCACAAACGGAAACCGAAACACAACATGTCACTTCAATTCATTCCATTTACTAAAATATTTACAGCAACGACTATCAGGCCAAGCTGAAAAAAAAGGCCAGAAACACATGTATGTGTGTGTCAAAAACCAAACATTGGTTGGAGAGTGTACAAAATGGTAAATGCGTACACTGTCAACGTGTTCAATATCAAAGTGAATTAACTAAGAGCATCAAAAAATAGCTCCGAGTGTCTGTGAGTGTGTGTGTCTGTGTGTGGGTGTGTTTGTGGGACAGGGTAAACTTAATTATACTTTTTTATACCCTGAACCCATTGCCAATGCGCAAAAAGGGTATAATGCTTATGTGTAAACGTTTGTTACAGGCAGAGATAAGGTACGGCCTCATATAATAGGTTCCCCTAGACTCTGGTTGGGATTGGGAGCATAATCAAAGATTTCATGTTTAACGGCCTGTAAAAGGGTATAATCTTTTGTACATTACTTTTCTTCTACATATGTACACAATTTTTTCCATATTCTTTTCTTTGGAAATTTTTAGAAGGCATTCGATCTCATTAAATTTGTTTGTGAGCAGCATGCGGTTTTTTTCAGTTATTTTCGATATCCTCTTCCATTTGCTTGATAATGATAAAAGTAGAATTTTATTTTTTTTATTTTATGTAATATTTTAAGCCCAACTCGAAGATTCTTTAGCTATTTATCTACCAAACATGGTCTGTAGATTCTCGTAGAATACATACAGATTAAAGATATTTAATATTTTGATTATCTCCCAAATTCTCACTTAAAAAATGGAAAAGTCTTATGTTTAAGCGAAGAGCCTTGCACTTTTGGCACAATTGTTTGCCATTTTTAAGCCCTGATCGGACTATAAGCACCGAAGTTATTCATGAAAGCATTCCCTACGGTCTGACTCACCCGACAAGGGAAAGACTTTTACTTGTTTTTCATTCCATTACATTGCTAAGAGATACACACACCAGCAACAACAGCAGCTACTACATCCCAGCCGTGCGTGGGAGTGTGTAAGAGTCTGAGTGTGTGTGAGTCTGAGTGTGTGTGTGTGTGTGCGTGTTGGTATTTGCATTTGTAGTGGGGTTAAATGAGCATGGCTGAATAGATTTAACAACAAATTGCAATCCCAATACTTGCACTCAATTTTAAACAGTACACACACACGCACACTGCACACCCTGTTGACATTGATTGCAATGCGTGTGTGTGTGTGTGTGTGTGTGTCTGTGCGTGTGTGTTCTTTTGATCGATTGAGCCTTACACAAGAATACTTTTACGAATTAATTGTAATATCTTTTACCAAACTGACCACAAACCAGCAGCCACAATTGTTTCGCTTTACAATCGTTACGCGCTTGCTCGGATCCGTATTTCTTTTATTGAGATATTGAGATGAAAAAGTTCAAAGCTGAAATACCCTTTATTTTATACATAAACTCAACATCTGTTTAACTATGCCCTTTAAAAGCATTGATGCGAGTTTCCTCATAAGTTATGTATATATATTTCGGTTTAGATAACTTGAAAGCAATTAAAAATTGATGTAGAGTTTGAACCATCGACTTGTCGCTTGTTAGTTCGACGCGCGGCACACTTTAGACGGAGAAACAAGCTGCAGTAGAACTTTTAACTAATCACACTAGTCACAAACTATTGTATATAGATAGAAGGGTTTAACTGTGTCTCATTTTATGCGTGTTACACTTTACTTAATTAAACTGGAATACCCTATACCCTATACAAAATTGTATATACGCATCATCTGCTTTCATTTCTCTATCTCTGTGTGACAGTTGAGATCCTTGAGGCGTATAGAACTGAGACTCCATAATACAGCTTAAGTCGTGTACTAAGCTTAAACGGAAATCAACATTCCGTAGCTACTGAGAGTGTCCTTGCGTGCGTGTGTGTGTGTGTGCATCTATTTCTTGACACATGTTGCCCCCGTTAAGTTGTTGCCAGCTTGATTATTAATTTGGGTTTGGCATGTTTGTGATGTCTCAGGATCCTGTTTCCTACCAAATCTGTTCACTAACAAATCTGTCGCTTTTTCTCTCTGTCACTCGCTTGCTATCTGTCTCTTTCTCGGTGTGTCTCCTTATAGAGTTGCGTGTATTTTCAATTTAATTTACTAGTAAGCCCACGTCCACACGTCTCATGTTTGCTGGACAACCTGTGCGGTAAGCGGCGGGCGGCAATTCATGGAGTCGGGGCGTCCGATTTGCTGCCGCTGCTCAATTTCAATTTGGCATTGAGGCGTAAACTTGAAAAATGTCTGTGATTTATTGTATGTATAAGAAGATTTACTTTCAATCTTTCACTCTCTACAAAATGCGAAACATAAAGCAGACTACGCTGCCATAGACACAGCAGCAATAGCAGCCTGACCCGCATCTTTGTCAGTTTGTTGAGTGTGCATGTCTGCGTGTGCGCGCGCGTGTGCGTGTGTGTGTGTGATTCGAGTTGGCTTGCTCTGACTTGCCTTTCATCAGCTTACAATGGAGCCCCAAGCTGCCTGGAAAATGCGCAGGCAAACGGTGGGCTTAGACACTGTCTCAGGCTTAGCTAGATGTTGCTTTGTTGTGTAGCAGGTTGGGCAACCCTAAGCCCTAAACGTTGCAAGCACAGTGGCAACCTTGACGTGTCTTGTTGCCCAACACTGCGTTGCAGTGCTGCCAATTCAGCTGTTTTATAGCTTATTCAACTGTTGAAACTAACTTCAACTGTTGAAACTGGCAGCTGCTTGCAATTCTGGCTTTTTGTGTTCAACTTGTTAGCTTTTAATTTATTTAGCTGTTTTACAACACTGTGCAGTTATTTCCATCGTGTTAATTTAATTCAGCTATTATTTTCGCTTTTTTAAACACTAGCCTAACTTTTTGTAGCGACAGCTGTCAACACTGGCACTGCCTTGACGCGGGTCACGGTTCGGAACACGCTGCTCGGCAGTTGGGTCTCCGTTTCAATTAATTGAAAAATTGTCGCTAGCTGGCACATTAAATTTACGAGAGCATATTCCAATTAAAATGAAATTAAATTTAGTTAGACGCTTACCCCGTCCGGTATGCATTTGGGCGTGGCCGTTGAGCTGGGCGCACAAAACTCCTGGAGCACATCCTGAAGCTTGCGGGTGGAATCTGCAAAAAGAGAAATATAAATTATGTAGAGCTTGTAAACCGGCTCCAAGCAGCTGCTGAGCATGTAAATGCCGTGTAAATAGCATGCAAGCATATATTATTTTATTTGAAAAGTCGCTCAATGCCTAAACTATGTGTTTTGAGTTTTCGCTAGTTTGTGAGTCGGTTTTGCAGGCATTACAACTGCAGCTGGGTGCTGCGTCAATTGCCACAGTGGCGCCACAGTTTAATTGACGCCTCAAGTGGGCCAAAGGGCAAGTGGAGTGTGGCATGTGGCATAGGTGAGGCGCAGGTGAGACAGACAGTTGCCGACTGCAGTTGAGTTGAGTTGAGTTGTGCAGCCAGCGCCCAGGTATAATTAACTAATGGAAACAAAGTCGCTTTTACTGCGTGGGCTAGCCACAAGCAAATATTCAGCACTTGCAACACATGACAGCTGGCTGCCTGATGCCCCAAATTGCTGCAGCTGTAAGATTTTTCTTTTATTAACCTAATGAATGATTTAACAACAGCTGGGCCACTGTGTCTGCCGCTCCTCGAGCTGCACTTGAATACTTCATGCAACGCAACGCAGCTGTTGTTGACACTGCGTTTCGGATGCCAGACACAGAAGAGCACTCTGTGTGTGTGTGTGTGTGTGTGGCAAGTTGCAAGTGGCAACCAGAGCCAGAGTTCGCCTGCAATTGACAGTCTCTCGATTGTTATTGCTGCTGAAAATTCTTTTAATCACACTCACAGCCAGCTGAAATTGGCAGCAATTGCAGCCACTGTCTTGACATTAGCCGTAGCAAAATGTTGACAAGTTGTTCTCTAAGCGGTTTATCTTCGAAAGCCAACTCTCTATCTAGTGCAATATACAGCTCAAAGGCTGCTCAGCAAATCCAGTATAAAGGTAACTACTTTGTAGAACGTCAAGCGGCTTTGCGCAGAGCCTGAACATTTTGCTTGCCACAAAATTCCAGTTACTTTATCCGAAATGCAGCCTGTGCGAGGAAAATGCGCTGGATTACCCAAGCAGACACAACAGCAAAGCATCTCAAAAGCTGTAGCCGAAAGATGGCAAGCATTTAAGCTGAGTACACACGCATTTCCATCCAGGCATCATCAGCTGAAGCAGCATTTGAGCTTTCCAAGGCCACAGAGCATTACCTGACTCCTGCGGTTGCAGGTTGCAGCTTGTGGCAATGCGATTTAAATTGCAACTATTTGTATAGAATGGAAATAAACAAGCGGCTAACGAGACGCCCAAGTCAATATATTCAACTAAAATATAGCTACAATATTATGGAAATTTATATGCTAGCACAGCTTTTAATTAAGCTGCGGTTGCAGTTTAACTAAGTGTGATAAAAAGCTATTGAAAAGCCGTCAGTAGTCTGTTTTAAATCTCAGGCAGAGATTGCAAAAAAACCAAACAAATGGGAAATTTACATTTAAATGTTAAACTATTTCCTTTCTTCATTTAAATACATAATCAACTCAGTTTTTCATTCAAAATAATAACAAATTAAATAAGCAATCATAGAAATGAAACATTTTTACTAAATTTGAGCCGACTACTTCACTCTCGTTAGTCCGACGCTTAGGCACCTAAGCCACGCAGGCCGATGACGTCATATCTAATATGTATCCGTATAGCTCAACCTTCTCACTCATCCGAAACCCGACCGCTTATTACCCTCTCCCACCCAAAAGAGTGCGAGGCCAATTTAAACTTTCTGACTCTTACGGCTGGGGCTGTGCGTTCATCAACAATCTGCCAGTCAGACAGTTAATCAGTCACTCAATCAGTCAGTTAGTCAATCACTCAATCACACAATCAGTACAAACCGTTTTGTATATGGAGATATATCAGTTGCATACAATTTAAGCTCTCAATTTGCGTCCAATCAATTTCCGCAAATAAAATTTGTGCGCAAATTGGCAAAAGCGCATATTTTAAATATATATATCTATCTGTACATATTATTATTTGCGTTGATATTAATATGTGGTTAGGAGGAGGTTGCACTTACATGACGCCAATTCCTGCAGCTGCAAAAACTCGCGCGGCGATAATTTATCCCATTTGTGTGCAATGCCAATATTCATGTTTGCCTGAAAGTATGCAATAAAAATAGTGACAAATTGTAATACGCTGCTGGCGAAAACAACAACAACAACAACGACAACAATAAACAACAGAGCGAGTCTTACAATAATGCGGAATGTGTGGCATAATTTATTGAATTTTGCGCTGGGCAAATGCGAAATTATTTACTCGCACAGACATTGTCTGTGTGAGAGTGTATGTGTGTTAGTGTGTGTGTGTGAGTGTGAGTGTGAGTGCGAGTGTGTCTGTTTCGCTTGGGACGTGCCCCCTTTTGCTAGCCAATCAAATTTGTGTGTGTGTCGCGGCTAACTGCTGAAAAGTGTTGGCGCAACAAACACACACAAGCATACACACGCACACACACACACACACTCGCACTTGCCAACTCGTTTGTATTTTTAGACAATCCCCAATGGACGTCACAACACTAGAAAACAAGGCCCATTAGCACAGCAAACGCACTTCGGTGCTAAAAACCCAGTTAATGTACGACCTTCCCCTGCCCCCTTTTTTTCTCGCAGTGTAGCCCGCGTGTATTTGACGCGTCATCAGCCCGCTGATGATCATTAGCTTAAGAATAATTATGCTTGGCTCTGATAGACGCACGTTAATCGATGACCTCCCTACTACCACTGCCTACCCCACTTTAGACTCTAACCCCTCATCTCTGGATATGGCCTGCCCGCTTGTCATGGCTATGGCGTCATGATGCTCAGCTGCCTTTCAGCTTGGGCGCATGTCATTTGTATTGCGGCATTTGTATATGTGTGTCACACACAAACACACACACACGCATACACAGCCCTTGGAGAGGTGGTAATTGGCCTCCCGCAGCAAATATTAATATATATATATATTTATATCATTTTATTTATTTAATTTGGTGTATTTATTTGCATTTGTATTTTGCCTGCTCTCAATTTTTGGCCGCAGCGTTTATTTTTGTACTCTTCGGTCTTTCTGGCATTTATTCATTTCACAAATATTTTTATAAAGCTTTTGTGTCCGAAACAAAAACTGTGGCGCATTTATTTTTAGGCCACTATTCCAAAAACAAAACATAACAAAACAAAAATATAAATTGTATCAACTGATTGACTGAATTATCATCAGGTTGGGCATTTTTGTCTTTGTCACGTCTCATTTCGCGCTGCTCTAATGCCTACACTCAATAGACAATAAAAAAAACAAAGAGAAAACAATGTTTAACAGGCACTTAAATGCGTTAGCATAGCGACCCGGCACACACACACATGCACTCAATAATGACAATAGTCATTATTCACAGCTCACTTGGCTTCCCCTGGAGAGAGGTGGGTTTGGGGGCGTTGGCGGGGGCGTGTCGGTAGTGCCTCGGCTCCTGCTGCTGCCTCTGTCTGACGTATTTCAAAGTTTTTACAACGTTGCCAACTAATGAAAATGCTAATAAAACTGTTGCATTAAAACCAATAAATAAACCATTGCCAGGCGGCATACGTGGCGTATGCGCAACAATAACGCGCCTTAATTGCGGCGTTAATGTTCAGTGCAGTCAGCAGGGGGCGGCAGGGCAGGGCAGGGCAGGGGAGAGTGGCAAGCAATTGGCTGACGCAGCAAATGAAACGCAAAATCTAGCATACAAATAGCACAGATTTTCCATGCTCAACAAAATGTCCGTATTCCATCCTCTTTCTGCTACTCGACTCTCGGGTGCTTGAACCCCAAACTTGGCTCAGCTCAGAAAGCTACACTTACTTTCGTTTATTGATCGTCGTGACGACAGTTCAACGGACCTTCAAGTGGTGCGAGCTGCTATGCTCTGGCCATTACAGGCCCATTGGCCATAAAATATTATTAGATTATGCGTTGTATTCGCCATTCTGAGCATGTAATTCGCATACAATAAGCATCAGAGACAGCGGCAGCGGCAGCATGGAAAATGAAATGAAAATGGCTTTCACTGTGTTTGTCCTTTTTACGAGCTGTCCGTCTCGCCCCAGTCCCCGCTCCGCGCCAGTCCCAGTTTTGACTTTTTGTTTGATAAAATGTATTGCATGTACAGAAAAAAAAAACTTGCTGCTTTCATTGTTCTAGCCCAGCGAAAATGGCCATTAAATCTAAACACATAAATGTCCAACACAGCAAACATATTTTATGCCTCAAAATTCAAATGTTTTTTTTTTCAGCTCTTAAATTTGAGCTGACCTTTTAAATGTTTGAAACTAAGAAATAAATATTCATGCAGCATGTTTATAAAACAAATAAGACAAATATTAAAAGCCATCTCGTTTTCTTTACTTTTTGGCCCTATAAAAACAATAAAATGGCATTAAATAAAACGCGAGCATATTGCGAATTTAATGACTTTGCGGCAGCGTTTCATGCTCTGCGGTCTGTGATTGAGCTGCGAGCCCATTTGGCCGCATCAATAACAATTTGTTTTTGTCAAATTGTGCCCCAGGCAGAAGGAAGCATCTCCGACCCCATAAAGTATATACATTCTTGATCAGCACCAATAGCCGAGTCGATCTAGCCATGTCCGTCTGTCTGTCTGTCCGTCGGTCAGTCTGTCCGTCCGTCCGTCCGTATGTATAAGAGCTAGAGACTAGAAATTTTAGATGTAGGTGCTCCTAGTGCCTGCGCAGATCGGGTTTTTTTCCGATAATCGATAACTTACTCCGTTTCCAAGCAATCGATAAAAATCGATATCGATATCCTGTTTTTTGGGCAATTTTGGTAAATAATAAGAGCTAGAGTCACCAAACTTGACATATAGCTTCTAAAATAGAATATATATATGCATTTGATGTTGGAAGAAGAGAAGACTAGAACCTCTTACTTGTTTTTATTTCACGCAAGCTGCCTGCAGTTAAAAGTTGTTAATTTCAATGCATATCAAATGCAAACACAGCTCGAAAATAAAACAGAATTCAATCAAATACCATTGACATTGTTAACTAGCCCAGAACATTCAACGAATTTAGTTATTTATATTAAACATAAATATAAACGGATTTCAACTCTAATTCAGAACACTTTAAAATTTGTATGCCAAGAGTTATGGGCATAAATAAATTGATTTAGTTCAATTCGATCAACTTTTGACTCTGGGGACTTGGCTAGAAATATGTGTTATTTGGCATAGTATTTAATATTGAATTATTTACATTTTTTTGTTGCTGCCTTTCCTGTGGCTCATGTGCTGAAATGCAAAATATTTGCAAATCTACATTGAATTATTCATTGCAAATCAATTGCTGTCAAGCGGCAAAAAAACATCTCAATAAATTATTAAGTAGCGCCAACTGGAAAATAGCAACAAGAATTCCACCTGCAGGCAGGTGAGAAAATGCTCGACTAGATGATGCTGTGCCATTATCTAATTATAGGCATGCCTGCTGTCTAAATATATAACAGGGATATCGTATAATCTATTCGATTGCTATCAATGCCGGCTGTAAGCAGGTGGGGCGTGCTAAGCTATGTGATACTGTGGAATATTCTAAGAAAAGGGCTAGCCAGATATTTAACAGGGTATTTTATGAAATCGTTTTACCAATTGCTGCTACCCATTAAATATTCCAGCCGTTGGGTAATGCTCGACTATATGATGCCGTGGGAAATTCTTGATCAAACAGGCCTTCTATCTGCCTGCTGTCTAAATATTTAGCAAGGTGCTTCGTAATTTCTACAAATGAAACGGTAGGAAATGCTTGACTATATGATGCTGTTGGAAGTCCTGAAAATAGTTCTAAACGGAGCCGCTCTATCTGTATTCTGTCTAAACAAATTAGAGGGTATTTTGTATTTCATCAAAGCTATAAGTTTAGAACAGTTCATGTACATTCTGCTGCATGCGTTTTCATATCACATTTTTTCGCTCAGTGTACTCATGCTTTTCCCATTTGATTTTGTTGCGTTTTCTACATTCCCACATTGCGAATTATTTGCTTAACATGCGAGCATGTATTTGCATTTATGAAATTGACATTACTGTTTATTAGCTCGTGTGTGTATATATATAAATAGATATGTATAAGCATAAGCGTCACATACATTTGATTTTCTTTTAGCTGAGTGCACAGGAGCCAAAGTGTATTTGAGGTTTGGCCCCTTTGGGAGCAAGGGGCATGGGGCATGGGAGCAGGGGCATCATCTTCCGGCTGGCTGCATGGTTAAGCAGATGACAATATATCATGGATTTATGCCACGTATTTTTCACACACACACGCACACAGAACTTTTGGCATGTTCATGTGCTGCTCATATGTTTTGTTGCTGCACTTTGGGGCTTTGCATGTGGTATAGCACGCTGTTAAACGGCTTAAACACAGCCATAAACTGTCAGTTAAGCTGGCTCTGGGTGTGGTTCCTGGCTGTGGATCTGGATCTCGCACTGCGGTGGATGCCTTCAGCAAATGGCCATGACACGAGCCACGGGGGCGTGCCAGCCGCTTTTTGTTTGCCGGATGTCAGAGCACTAAATAAACAAGTCGCAAGTTCGTCCAAAAAAAAAAAAAGAAAGAAAACTGAGTAAATGAAAGAAAAGTCTACGGCAATTAAAACTGACCATGGAGGTGGCATAATGTTGCAATTGTGTTGTCTATGAGTCGATGAGAGAGTCTATGTTGCGCTCTCTGGCAAATGGCGAATAACCGCAGGAAACGTGTTTAAAGCAGTGCATATCTATTGTGACTCTTTGTGCTGCTCCGCTTCCGCTTGTCAGAGCTGGCAGGACGTGGGATTAGCAGCAGGAGCTGAAGGAAGCCCTGGCAAAGCAGCGGGCGCAAAAGGCGCATTGTCACTGTTATTGCGCTTCAGCTTAGCTGCTTTATTGAACACGCTGGTCATGCACAATCAGATGGCGACACAGGGCAGACAGAAGGACAAAGCTGGCGGGGCAAACAAAACGACAGAGCCGCCCGTGCAGACAAAGAGCCTGCGACATTCTCAGCAGCCAGCGACCGAGTGCTCAAGAGCAATTGAATCAAATTTATTGTTCATATCCGATGCCGTTGTCCATGCA